GTTCCCCCCTCCCCCCAAGCAATGGAAGCTGAATATATCTGGGCAAAGCATCAGGGTCAGTGAAATGCGTGTGGAAAGAAAGGGCATGGAGACCTGAAAACACAGGTGGGAAGGGAGCTAGCGTTATGCTTCCCATCACTCAAGAGCATGAGATGTACAAGATTAAAAGTCAGTTCAGCTCGCCTATCTTTAAAACTTAGCTGCATCACCAGATCAAGAACTAATCATCGATGGCTGCCCCTTCTGACAAACAAAGCAACAGTTATGAGCAGTAGGGGAGGTTTTTTATTTAAAAGGGTGCCTTAAATTATGTTAAATTCCCAAACCTGGCCAGCAGGCAGAATAATTTCCAGAGTTCTGCTTAACAAAGGAATGTTTTGTAGGATTTTAGCTGATACTCTCTTGTGCCCCCTGCCCAGTCCTCCCTTGCCCCGTGCCACAGATATCCCAGACAGCTTCCTTGGGATTTGGCACCTGAGAAACCTCATTTGACTTGGTGGCATTTGGAAAGGACTGGATTTGGGTGTTTCAGCAACAGCTCTGAGATATCCTAGTGCCTCAAGGAAGGTGCAAAGATCATCAGACTCTATGGATGCTCTTGCCTTCGAAAGGCTGTACAAATCCGCACAAGCTAATGGCATTACTGTGCTTCTCAGCAGTGGTCAAACTTCAAGAGTGAAAAGGAGCCCACCCTCAGCAGTGGTGAGAGCTCCTGCCCCAGGGGCAGCACCTGGGAGCTCTCCCAAGGGCCTGGACAGTAAGTAACAGTGCACGGAAAGGGGCTCGCTTCGCTTATTTGGCTACATTCCCTCACCTCCTTTGCTCTGGGAAAGGAGGTGGAGGCCAAGCCACTGGCGGGACTGCTTCCCATCAGCAGCAGCACCCGCTGTGAGGAAGGTGATGATGATGCCAGCTTGGGCTCTCCTGGGGGGATATACCTGAGCCATCAGAAGCCAGTTCCTCTGCTTCTGCCACTCGCCCTGTCTGCAGTGGGACTGTAGTCAAGATTCACACCCACTTTAGTCTAAAAATAATACAAAAAGCTTGGCCCGTCCTCCTCTCCCAGGGTAAAGCCAAACCAAACCAGGAATATGCCTACTTGCTGCTTGGATTTTGCTGGGGATGCAGAGGGGGGGAACAATGGCAAAGCTGATTGTCTCCACGTAACCAAAATGAAAAGGGACAAGACCAATTCCATTTAAAGTGCTTTATGGCATCAAACTGACATCAAGTTACATGTTGAGATGATCACTTCATTTAAAAGAAGCTAAGGCCAACCCCACACAACTCCATTGAGTCTCACACCGTTTGCTACAGCTACTCTCTCTCGGCGGGGTATTCTGGCACCCCCAGATAATACTGACCACTTTTGTACTTCATCTGAGCCCACGTTCCCACTTCCCTGGTCACGGAGCCCCTTCTGTTGGGCAGCGATAACAAAGAAAAGCCCAAGAAAAGAAAGGCTGATTTTTCCCCTCCATGAAACAGTAGCAAAAAAAGCTCCAAGAGCCTTTGCTGTGTCCTCCTCTCCCTTCAACAATATGGGCTTTGCAACAGACATTTTTGAACCCGCTCTGTGTCCCATCAATCTAGTGCAAAACAGGGGCGTTTGGTTGCTCCAAACTGGATCAAGGGACTGGCTCTGGGAACCAGAGAAAGCGTCAGGCTGGGGTGAAGAAATAACATTCTTTCAACAACTGCAGGAAGGATGCCAGGCGTGGAACTGAAGCAAATGCAATTTTAAGGACAGGCAGAGGAAAAGCTTTGCTGCTGTAAAACTGGGATCATACTCGAGCAGACCACCCTAGGCAACCTGCAGGGATCAGAGTGGGAATCCAACCTGGGGAACCCATGCCAAGCCTTTCCAAAGAAAACCTGAGAGGGGGAAAAATAAAAGGCTAAAGAGATAAAAACAATCCATGACCTACCTAAAGGTGAAAGGAGGAGGAAGCAGTGTGGGAGTAAAGACTTCATTCAAAAAAAGTGAATTATACAGTAACATCAATCCTCCAGGGACAAAGGTCTGTCCACCAGAATTAAAGACACACACAGCTTTGATATGCAGTATTTCTGGTCAGGATATTTCTGACTCACACCCATGGTTCTTTAACAAGGAATCATGGGGACTTTAGGAGATCACTTAGCAAATACTAGTTTCACTTAGGGCACTGAATGCTCTTTTTGATTTGCACAGGCCAGCAGAGATGGTCAAGCCAGGCAGAGACTCAGCCCTGTTGCCCTGGGACACGCGTCTGCCCTTTGATGTCCTTCTCAGAGCCACGGGACGTTCCTGTGTTGCAAATGCGAGAGGTGCTGGGGCTGGGGAAAAGTCAGTGGGATAAAAAGAAAAACTCAAACTGGCAAAGGCTATTACAGACTGAGTGGAACTTTCAAAAATACTGGCGACCTGATCTCTCTTTACACAACAGTAAATGAGCCATGCATGGCTTCGGTTTCCAAAAATTTCAGCTTGGCACATTTGTTTTTGCAGATGTGTAAATAGCAGGACAGAAGTTATTTTCTGAAATTGGTGGGTTTCTTATGAAAAAGGTAACATCACAACGTCAGCACATGCCTCCTTCATCTCCCTTCAGGTTCAGAAGAGGTGCCTGTATCTCCCCAGAGAAGCAACTGGATCCTCACATCACTGCAAAATGCTCCATGTTTTGCTTTTTCCTTTGCCACCAAGAGGCATGAAAAAACCTAAACAAAATATTTAAACAAGGAAACTAACTGATAGGAGGAGTCTTGTCTGAAGTCACTGCTTCTTTTTCCAGACCTTTTTTGGCCCAAAGATGCTCTGCCTTAAAGAAAGCTCTCAGTTTAAATTGGGAAACTCTGGGCATGGCATGGGCTGCAAAGCAGCACTGCCCAATCCCTGGTTCTGTAGAAACCAGGGAGATAAGAACATTTGGCTTACCAATGTGTTGGTAAGAAAATATAATAAAAAAAAAAAACAACCCAACCAAAAAGGGGGAAAGAAAAAAACCAAACCACCCTTCAAACAAAAGTAAAATTAAAAGTAAAAACAAATAAAAAAATAAAACCAAGTAAACTCCTTTTTAAAAAAGAACTCTTTCAAATAAACAGAAAGATAAATATTTTTTGCAAGCCCTGCTTGCAATTAAGTATAAGCACCAAATAATATTAAAAAAAGCAAAATAAAAATAAATCTCAAACCTTTTTCCTTTCTTCCTTTTATTTTTCTTTTTTTTTGAGTCTTAATAGTTTAGAGAGCTTCCAAAGCAAGCAGGCAGTTTAGGATTCCTGCACTGACCGGGACAGACCAGCCTAAGCATCCACCTCACCATCAACGCTGCTGATACTCATCAGCACCAAACTCTGAAAACTGCTGCAGGTTACTAGCTTGTGAGAAGCCAGAGAGCAAATTTAAATCAAACAATAGTGCAAGAAGAGAAACTATTTTTTTTTTTTAAAAAAAGAAAAACTGATATGAAAGGAAATGCACTTGACACCTTCAAACTCTGAGCAAACCCCTGAGCTATTTTGAAGCTGACAGCATCTCGTTACTGTTTACAAATCTGCCCAGGCAATTCCCCTGAGAGGGTTTGGAAGAACTATAATTTTGGGAAAAAGTTTGGTTCACTGCATTTCTCTTCCCCCCCTGAACATCCCTGTATTCGACAGCTGTACAAACACCTCACAGTCAGCACCGTGAGAGCCACCCTCGGGCCTTCCCCTTCTCTCGATGGCGACACGGGGACAAGGGGACACTTTCACCCTAGAGCCCACAGCGATGGAGATGGACCTGCCACGCTGGGATTTTGGGCCTGTTCCACAGTGGTTTTGTCCATCAGAACATATTTTCTCCTCAGAAATCGTTAATAAGTGCATGGTATTGTATAAGCATAGGGACTAGGAGCTGCCTCTTTGGAGTTCGCTCTGCTCATAGCGCTCAGTCCCCTGACCTGTGACATCTCACTGAAGTGCTCTGAAATTGCTGCTGTCTCATTCTGCCTTAGAAATGAGCAAGGGAAGCTGACAAAATCCAGAGAAACAGAAGCCCAATGGTAACACAGAAAGCGGGGGAAGAAAAATACAAGTAACAGAACAAAAGTCCCTAAAAGCAGATTTTCAGCCATCTCTCCAGTAAGTCATCAGGCTTGTAATGAAGGGATGTCAAATGAAACTAGAGAACCATATTCTGGCAAAAAAAAACCCAAAAAAATCTTTACTTAGGGAATGGGAAGGAATGAGCTCCAGCTCAAAGAGATTGCGTAAAAAAATGGTGCTTAGAGTTGTTCCCACTTGAACACTGTCTGTTCTGGCTCCCCAGTGTTGCCTTACAAGCCTACCAAATTTCTCTTTTCTGCATCATTTTAAATATACCCAAAGACATTCTGCTTGATTCTGGAAACAGTCTGACATTTAAATCCTCTGCCCCATGAAAATATTTCAGAATTAGTTTGTTTGGTTTTTTTTTTTTTTTTTTCCCCTCTGAATTTTTGTTTTGAACATTATTACTGCTTCCTGGCATAAGATACCTCTCTGAAACCAAACAGTCCGTATACCATGAGCACAGAAGGGGTGTGCAAGTCAATGGTGTTATAATTGGAGCAGTAAGGGCAAGATATTTAATATCTACTCGCTCCCTGAAAGTCATCAGATATCATCTATCCCCATGGGCCGAGCTAAGCTTGGCTGTACAGACTGTAAGCATATCCCAGTGGATACATAGATACATATATGTATATATACAGTATATCTATATATGCCAGTGTGTACGCACCATTTGTAGAGTCCTAATCTTTTGCTAAATGCTTGGTTTTGGTTACGTTCCCCAGAAAAGGGGAATTTGAAGGCACAGACCCCTTAAGGCTATGTTCTCTCATCCTTCAGCAGTAAGAAGAGACAGAAAACGTCTATCCCAATCCGTTTAACCCAAGGTTGGCACAGAGAGACGGTACTATTTGCCGTGCAGTCAGCCTCTGCGGTGAGAATTCACGCAAAACCACAGGAGAGAGGCCCTTTCCCACCACTTAACAGACTTCATAACATGTTTTATTTAAAACCTCTAGATGCTTGTCAGATGCAGGCACCAGCAGCGTGCTGTGGAGTGGGCAGGGAGATGTCCATTGTATCAATGCTGAGAGTGACTGATGGAATCGTCCGTGCTCAGCAGAAGATCTCCTCACCCTCTGGAGGTGCTTCTGATGAGTGAGAATCTGCAGCACAAAAAAACCAGGTGGGAATTACTATGGGAATACAGTCTGCAGAACAGGACTCCACGCACTTGGAAACCCCGCTGGCTGCCCAAACCACCGGGCACCTTAAAAGATGTCCAGTTCCCTGATGAGCTATCACGAAATTGCATCTTGTAATTGCTGAGCCTGCCAGTGCACAAGTTGGAAAACATCAGAGTTAATATGGATAAGCCGGTCATCTGAGGGCGTGAGATCAAATTTCATGTGGGTCAGAGGTCTGAGGTACAGAACTGAGTCCTAAGGGGATGCAAAACTACCATTCTGCCTTTTTTTATTTTTTTTTTTTTTTTTTCAGATCAAGAGGCAAGATAGACCAGCTCAAGGGAAAGGGAGAGGCCACCAGAAGGAGGGGTGTGGGTATCACTTCCAAACTACAACAGAATTAAAGCAGACAGCAATGCCGCAGGGGCTGCAAGAGCTGGGAGCATCCCAGCAGCAGCTCCTGAAAGCACATACACTGAAGCAGGACATTTTCCTCCTCAGAGCAGAGCAAGCTGAAAAATAAAGGGAGAATCCAGCCTGCGGAGGCTGCTCAGGATGGGATGGGAAAGGGAAAGAGCAGGGAGCAGAGTGCATCCCTCTGACAACCCCAGGTGCTGCAGAACAGGCAGAAAAGCCCACAGAAGACCACTTCAAGCTGGGAACTCCATTCATCAGAGCTCATCTTTTCCACCTCTGTGTTACCACCCATACTCAAGGACAGATTTTGTGGCTACCACAAGTTCACTGGCTGGAGGGAAAAGCCAGCTCACCGAACCTGAAGACACACCTATGACCTCCCCTGACACTCACCAGACTGTTGGGAGCGATGTCCCCTGCCCTTTTTCTTCTTTTCCTTCTTCTCCTTTGGTTTGGCTAAACTGAAGAGGCGGGTAGGCATCTGGGGCTGTTCCTCAGCTGCCTTGTTAGTCTGGTTTGTTGTGCTAAGCAAATGGAAAGTGCTTTTCTCTTTGTGTGTCCTTGAAAGACTGTTCCTTTTGGGGGAGACAGACAGTTCTGCATCAAAGTGCCCTTGTTTAGGAAGGGAAGGGCTCTTCTGCTTGGAGAAGTCATCAATGCTGGACTGCGAGGGGACTCTTCCAAGTTTCTCATGTAGATTTGAAACCTGTAAAGGAAAAGGAAAGTGTTTTATTGGGGCATGAAAGGGGCTAGCAGAGAACCTGGAAAGGTGTGTCCCAGACCACTCATAGAGACAGGTTGCTCCTGTGAACACTCAAGCCCATTAACCAGCTAAAAAGTGGTCCCCATCCTGGTGAAGCAATGAGAGAAGCAGCCCTCTCTGTTTAAGAAGAAGTGAGGCATATAAATAGTAACACTCCGGTATCTTTTGCTCCTACATGTACTATGCTATGTATCAACAAGCCAAGGGCAAATATTCTCTAAGATCTCAATACCAAGACTCACCCTGCATCGTTCGCGCACACAGATGGTGGCAGAAGGCCAAGGAGAAGTGTGCCTCTCCAGCACGGCAACGCCAGCACACAGCACCAGAGCGGCATGTGTCAAAGGAAGCCTCCCCAAGCAAGAGATGAAAGCAAAAACGTTTTTCCTGATTTTTTTTTTTTTTTTTTTCCTAACGGCTGTCTCAGGATGTAATTGAGCCTGCACATTCAAAGGGAAGATCAAAACAACAGCTCAACAAAGCCTCACCGAACCTTCTATTAATAGCTCTGAAATGTCAGTAAGATACCTGCCTTGAAAAGGTGCTTCCTCCTCCTAATCCCCCAGGCCTCACAGTTATTTTACCTCTCAGCCTCTCTCATAGCATCCATGCGCCTCACATTCCTATGTGTGCTTGATGCTGGAACAGCTTTGCTCCGTGCCTGGAAAACTTCTGCCCTGATCAGGAACCGGAGTGGGAAGGGAGCAAGCCCTCCTCTGATGATTTGTTTTCAGAGCTCATTGCTAAACTCTGCAATCAGTCCATTCAGGCACCCAAAATAATCTCCATTCTGCAATCCAACATTTATAAACTAATTTTGCTACAGCTTTAAGCAAATTACATTCAGAATTAGTGAGTTACAAACAAACAAATGATCAGCAACAGGCTTAAGGATCAAATTCAGCCCATGTTTTGCCAACGGATGCTTGCTCTCCTCAGACAGACTGCTGCACAGTTATGAAAATATAAGACCCAGCTTGCTGAAAAATGCACAGAACAGGATCTGTGTGGGGGCTTTTCTTTCTGGTTGTGGGCAGTCAGACACCAAAGGCCTTTTCCAGCAGAGCTGGGGACCTTTGTTCACTGAGCCATGACCAGACTGAAGATGCCCAGTCTCTTCAGGACAGGGACAATGTCCATCTCTTTGCTAGATATTGGAAATGTTTTTGGAGATGGATATATTCGTACAAACAGCCTTCCCCTGCAGTTATCAGCTTCGTGAGTGGCTTTTGTGACAGCTGGAGGGTGCAGGTAACCCTCAACGTTCAGGTTGTTTCTGAGAAGTATGTCTCATCTTCACCCATGGGATGAAGGCCAATGTCAAAGGCAGCATCGACCTGCTAGGATTGCCTAGGGCATCTTCTCTGCAAGCCAGCCACCTCCATTCTGCTGTCCACCAACACACGGCAGAGCTCAGGCTGTTGTAACTACCTACTGCTCAGGACTGACCAGGCATCCTGAATACACCATGTTGCATCAACACTGGCAATGCCTCAGCAGCTCTGGAGGTGCAAGAAATGCAGCCCTGCCCATCACACGCAAAGAAAGAGCCAGTTTTAAATACCAGGCCCTGCATGGTTTTCGGGCTGGGCTGGTGTCAGCCTACTACTGTTGGCACGCGTTTGGCCCAGGAGCTCCCTGCAGTGCATAGCTTCCCCACCAGCCCCGTTGTTGGCATCATTTACCTGGTTGTGGTCAGGCCCCTGCCGCATTTGAGCTAAATGCTCCATGTCTTGCTTGAACTGCATCTTCTCCCTCTCCAGCTGCTTCTGCGCCGTGCGAAGCCTCTCCAGGTCGAGCTGGTAGGAGGCCTTCTTCACCTGCAGCTCCTCTCGCTCCCGCTCAAGATCCTGCCACCCTCTCTGGACCTGCTCCTCTCGCTGGGCCAGGTGGGCCTCCTGCTCTGCCAGCTCCTTCTCCCGGGCTTCCCACTCCTTCTCTCTCCTCCGCCTTTCCTCCTGGTGCTGCGTCTGCTGCTTCTTCAGGTTGGCCAACTCCTGGCGTTGCTTCTCCAGGTTACGCTGCTTCTCCTGCTCCAGCAGCGACGTTGGCCGGAAGAAGCTTCGGGTCAGAGCCCTCTCGCTCAGAGCCAGCTTCTGGTCCTCGATGTAGGTGTCCTGCTGCAGCACGACACCCTAAGAGAGAGGGGACACAAATCATTGCAGCACCCTCACCATCTCTGAAAACCTCAGGGTGCTGTATCGAACCCCTCTTCTCCCACCAAATTCACATACAGCTGGGCTACCAGAGGATGTTGGCAGAGCATCTCCCCCAGAAGCTTCCCAAATTCAGGCAAGCGCTGGTTTGCTTAGGCAGCAGCTCATTCCTATGACCTGCTGGCACGCTGCCTGCAAACTGGCTGCGGGGTATTGAGCCACGCAGGGATGTGACAGGCAAAGGGGAGATGGGGGAAGATGGGGGGCGAAGCACAAGCGTCTGTTACTGGCTGGCGAGATGTGCAGCTCGGGCAAGCAGCATGCAAAAGCGGGATGAACGGCCAAGCCTACCTGCAAAGCACTGAGCAGCTTATGGAGGCTGGTAATGGTTTGGAGGACCTGCTGCGAGAAAACAAAAGCGTTGCTATTAGATCCAACTGGGTGCCAGGGTAAGCGTAAAGCACCCTTCTTTTTCCACTGTGACCCACTGATGGATCTGACAAGCTGTACGGTCATCCCTCTACACCTCTGTTTTTCTCACTCTGCACTTGCAATGACTGCGTCATCCCCCAGTACACAAATACATCCCTTGGACATCTCTTAGAGGTGCCTGGCATTGCCTTCCTCACTTTCCTAGCCATCAGTGCAGCAGGGGAGGAAACATCTGCAGAAGCACTGAATGGCACAGACCTCATGAGAACTCCCGGGTTGTCTCTGCAAACCATTTCCCACAGCATCAGCTTGCTCAAGAACAAGCAGAGTAATTACGATAAAACCCAGCAGTTCACTTAGAAATTTCAGAGAGAGAACTTTAAGGGGCAAAAAAAGAAGGAATCTTAAAATGGACGTGGACTATTTGTACTTTTCCAGCCCTGGCTGACCCATACAAGTCCCACTGTCATTGGACAGAAAAACTGCAATACAGCAGGCACACAAGTACAGCAGGTGTGTTCATGGAGGCTCTCTGAAAATACAGGTAAACGTGAACACATTGTACACCAATACAGAGCAAGCTACTTTGGAGCAATGCCCTATCCCTAGATATATTTTTAGCCTAGCTAAAACTGTCTTAGAATCTCTTATATCCTGCTACTACTTTTAAGAAGAAAAAACACCACAGTATTTGCAATAGTGGTGTGATAGCCAGTATTAAGAAAACTGCTTCTCATTCTGCCATTAATGCTAATTGGGAGTTATGAATGTGTATCAAAGGGAAAATAGAAATCTAATTGTCCCAATTCACTGCACCTGCAACATAAAATTAAACTCCCTCTGTCTGCAGATGCACAATAAATACAGCCCTGTGCATGGGAGTGGTAATTAACCCTTGCTGCCTATAATCAGCACATATCTTCCTGCTGGCAAGCAGATGACAATCAGCAAATTCCCTGTCTGAACATCCAAGGTTAAACAAATAAATGACACAGTGGGTTCATCTTAATGTATTTAAAAGTCTACATGCGCTTCAGCAAATGAAATGTATTTTCTTTTACATTATCACCTATTGAGACAAATTCACTTGCCACTTAAATGAAGGAAACAGCTGAGAAACAGAATCAATTCTTACCTCGTTATTTCTTTTCAACATGAACATCAAATTAGCATTTCCACCCTATGAAAAGATCACAGATTTAATACGAGGACAAATGAGAAATCACAGCAAATGTGTTCTGAAGCTGAACTAATGGCAGACACATTAAACCCCCACCCCCATCTTCCATTCTGGGAGAATTCATGCATGTTTTTTAGGCAAGTTAAAATTACATAAAATAAAATGTTAATTAGGTATCATTTTGTAGTTGTATGATGGATCGATCCACAGCAAGAATAGGTGCAAGGTTATAGTTGACCTTATCATTTCAATAACGATGCATAATTAAACACATGCTTTAGCTGATCTGCAGACAGATGGCAGATAACCTGTGCCACAAAGGAATACAACTGATTTGCAATGGTTTTCAAGTCAGGATTTTAGCAATAGCAGAGTGCTTTTGGCTGCATACTTCCAATTTGATTTTATTTTTCATTTATTCGGATACATCTAATTGTCAAGAAATTCAGGCATTTTTCAAGACTAGAATTATCAACTCTCTTGAAATCTGAACTCAGTGGCAGCAGAAAGATAAATCAAAAGATACCTTCTTTAAAATGCTGTCTGACTCTGTTCTCCGAAGGTCCTGAGCATCGTCGCCTTCATCTTTCGCTCCACCTAAAGGAAGAAGCCAGCATTGACACTGGTTATTCAACATTTTAAGCCACAGATGAACTTGCTAATGTCTGAGAAATTTAATGCAGGAAACTCAGATGTTTCACAAAAGGGGACACAGAGCTCTTGACACTTTAACTAAATGCATTTCCTCTCTACATATACAGAACACGTCAGCACCACCAGAAAAAGTGGATGTGAATTCAGATTAGGATTGACTTTGGTTTCAGACAATGTGCTGATAAATTCATCACACTCCTATTAACTGGTGCTCTGTCTAGCCCCCGCACTGCTGTCTGCTACCAAAGAATACTTGCTGAGAAGACATGAGGCAGAATAAGAGCAGATGGAGAACAATAACAGTATCATATCAGGGTATATTATTGCAGGTATAGTTTCCATGCCTCTTGTGCAAGTGCAATTTACAGCTGGGTCAGATACTGCTGCTCAATACCCTGTGTAATTTTATGCTAACAATTTCTGCTTAGCCTTAGTTATCAGAAACCTCTATCTTCAAAGGGCACTGGCCTTCTCTTTCTACCTTCCCCCTGGGCAGCTCCTAGCAGTGCTCCCGAGCAGGACTGAACTGACTTGCGGGGCCAAGAGGGCTGCAACCCTCCACCTGCTGCACCCAAGAGCATGTTCATTTGCTCACGGCGGCGAAGGAGTTGCAGGGCTCTTTGGTCCTCTAGCTCTTGGCAAGACTCTTGCACTGCCCTTGCCAGCTGAGATGCAGCCCGTGGGGAAAACCCACAGCTGCACTGGTAACCTCCCTACAGCCACTCTTTTCATACACCTGTATCTAAAGAAACATGAAGGACCTAGTGCAAAGACCCTCGCCTCCCACCATCCCCCAGGCAGGCTTTGCTATTAAAGGCTGACCCTCAAGTCCTCCTAACAGACCTTCTTTCCTGTGCCACGTCCTGGGACCTTCCACCTCTTTGCAGGAGGAAACACCTCCCTTCTGCTTTGCTGGAGGGGAGAACGAAGGCGAGTCAGGTTATAAGCCTTGCCCAAGGTTGCACAGGTTGTGAACAGAAGAACTGGAGAAGAAAGCCAGGTTTCATGGCTCCCAGCCTCCAGCTGAACAAACAGGCCCTGCATTCTTTTCCCAGATCCTCCCAAGACCCTACAACTATTGAATTACAATCTAATTCAAAAGAGGACATTTTTACAGAAAAACTAGAGCTGGGCAATGAACAGCCTGAGGTTGATCCATTCATCACTGCAACAGGAGAGAAGCAAAACCCTAAACAAACCCCTTCAGTGTGAATATATTTGTCATTATGATGACAAGGCCTGTGGAGGGCTTTGCAGCTTTCCAATAGAGCTGGGAAAACCTCTACATACTTCTCATGTCTGGCTGTCTGGAGCTAACACTGCTCCTTTAATGCAGAAGGTCAGACGAGGTCCAACGATCCCAATGCTGAGACAGACACTAGCGCAGCAAAACTGGCTGTATTGGGAGTATGAGTGAGACCACAGAGAAAGGAATTTGAGGACAGGGAAGTTTCTGATGACTAAGGGCAAAGAAAGAGAGCATTGGGAAGCAGCCAACTATGCAGCTGAAATAAATATTCACACATTTGTTTGGGAGCGACTTAATTGCAGGAATAACACATGCAGTTGTATGTGGAACACAAGCGCACAGAGAGCAGGGGCAGGGGAGAAGGTGCTCGATTCAACAATATCCTCATCCATTTGCAAATGCAACAGCACCAGACTCCTGCTGGAAGATAACTGAAGAAGGAAGAACAGTGCTGCATATACTACAAATAAGAACATGAAGACGCTAATGCATTAAAAAGCCAAATGCTTTCATGTGGCATGCAAGTAAAGGAGTAAGGATGACTTAGAGCATAGAGAGAGAGCAGAGTGAAGACCTCAGATTTCTAATCCTCATGTAGCCACGGGTTCTCAACAACCATCATTCCACCTGTACATATGCTTTTTTTCTAATCTGTTATTTAATCTATCAACTATTAATGCAGAGGTGTTGGGAAACCAAATCACCAGCGGCTGGAGTTCTCCTGAAGCAAGAGGATATGATGACATTATGTATTATTAACAAATGCTGATGTTCACACATGTAAGTACTCACACTTGGAGGCATTCATCTGATGACTGTCAAAACCTCCAAAAGTCTCTGCCCTTCTCGGGAGAGAGATGGGGCCAACTCCTCCTTCTTGTTCCATGGCACTGCTGCTGACCTGCTGCCCCAGGGCGGTGCCCAGGCTCCTGTTCACCAGGTCTTGCAGCAGTTCAACTGAAAAAGCAACGATATCTCTGTTAAAGACCGTCTCAGGCTTCTGAGCTGTTTTCATCTCTTCCCAAGCTCAGGTCAGAAATTCACCTGCTTTGCTGTACTAAGAAACCATGTTTCTATGACAATGATATGAACAGTACGCATTCCCCCTGCAAAAACTCAAGTCTGCCTGACCATTAACTCCAATTCATGGAGCTCTGCACAGGCTTACACCTTCCTTTCTTCCTCCAGGCAACCCTGGTGTGCTCTGACAAGAGCATTTAATAATTTTTAGACTCTCCAAAAATCACAGCAGAAAGTTGTCCAGGTTTCCATCTATCCTTGCCGTTGTCAACAGACTTGCTTGTCTCTTGCAGGCCCCACAAGTTCTTGCTGGAACCTGAGCCCTGCTCTCAACACCATGCTGAGACTGAAGCACAGCAAAAGCCTGGATGGTCCAAATTTCAGCCAAGGACAAATCCTGCACTGCTGCTGACCCCACTGCAGATTCAATACACAGTTGTTCTTGGTGCTGATTTATTTTCTGCCCTCTTTCAACAGCCATCAGTATCTGCTTCATTTCCTGATCCTCATCACCTGTCTTTGAGCCAATTCCGTGAGTAGCAATATCTCCTTATCTATGCTGTTATTCTGACAAAGAGAAGACCTCCCCTGCAAAACTGGTGTTTGAGGACTGATGGCTTCACTGAAGGTGGGTCCACTGGTTAGTGTAATTAATGTGTCACCCTGACTTGCTCACCTTCATTTATTGCAGTTTTCATAATGGCCTCTCCTTTTGGTGCCTCCTCTGTGTTGGCTCTGAAAAGCAGCCTGGAGCCTGGCATGTCCTCCTGCACAGAACTGTCTGCCATGTCCCGGAAGATCTTAGCCTTCTCTTCGAGCAAGAGGAGGATCTGCTTATCCTTCTGCTGAAGTTGTTCTGTAGGGGTGAACAGAAAGCAGAGATGAAGACAGAAAAGCTTTGGCAAGGAAACTGAGCGATTACTGAGATATTGGCCCCATCTAGTGGAACCTCATGATACAAGCGTGCCCCGAGCAATCCTGCAGAGCAATGGCACCCAGCAGGCTCAGAGAGAAAAAAATAATGCAAGCAAGGTGAGGTGCAAACAAGGTTTGCAATTATTTGCTGGATGCAGGATTCTCACTCCTTTGAATAAAGTGATAGTTCAACCACAAAACCCAACACGACAATTCCTGTAAATTTTTCAAAAACAGCTTTCCAGCTCTGTCCCAGGCAGGATTTTACCTTTCAGTCCTCTCACTTTCGCATCCGACACTTTCTTTTCAAACTCAGACTCACAAGGGACTCCTTCGTCTTCATCTCTATCCCTGCACAAGACACATGTCTCAATTACTACCAGAACACAACCATGTGCAACACCTGCCTTGCAAGAAGAGCTTGGTAGCTTACATGGTGTTCATTGTGTCTTGAATAATCTGTATCCAGCCGTTACGCTCTTCTTTGGAGCTGGCATGGACTTCCACCATTTCGGGATCTTTTACACCCATACTGATCAGGAACAAACCCTTTTCTTCATGAGCCACTTCTCGTACAATCAACTTCTTCAGAGAGATCACAGTGGATTTCTGGTCCTTCAGACAGAAAGGAACGGGTGAGCAGGGTGAATAGTACTAGTTTCCAGATGCAAACTAACACTGAAAAGGTCCCAATAACCATACTGCTACCTCTCTCAGGTTGTAAACACTTTCTGAACCTACTGGCTAATTAAAAAAAGAAATCATTTTAATGGGGTCAGAGAACAAGGAAGCGCTTGCTTTCCTCCATCAGTTCTGTAGGAAAAGCAATTTCACCTTGCTCCATTTCAACAACGAATTAATTTAAAATTGACTTTGTGGTTTTGCAAACTCTACCATGTTTTGCTCTAACTCCAACAGACCTTTGATCTTATCTCCTCCTGCCCGCACTTTCTCTGTCATTAATATTACAGCTTCTTAAACTTACTGCATCTTGCTAGTGCCTGCTTCACACACATTATCTTCAAGATCTCTCCCTAGGATGGAGTAACATCTTGTTTTCAAATCCCACAAAACCCCTGCTGTTCTCAGAAGCTCGTAGCTGACTCCTACGGTGGAGGAGACTTGTGTGTAAGATGACGTTCAATGTGTGCTATGGTCTCTGTGTAATCAGCCTGCTCGGTTAAAACATCCCTTTGCTGTTGTGTCATTTGCATATGAGTCAGCCCCTTTGTGCATTTCACAGGATGCTACAACTGGTGTGATTTGGTAGCGGTTCACTACCAGGACTTGTGTGCAAATCAGCTCCCCCTGTGTAAAGCACTGAGCCTGTGCAGATCGTTGGTGGAACCTGAGTAACAAATTATGAGCTTTCAAAATGTTCAGAGTGGAAAGGTCACAAGGTTTAGCCAGTCTAGACCATGCCTGCAAGGTACAGCCTCAACAGACTCAGTGAGGTACTAGGTTTTCTTTAGCAGGTCAGTATGCCTAAGCCCCTTTATGAAGTCTGCCTTCAAAAGTTAATGGTTTTGGTCTTGTGCATTACAAATACATTCCTCTGACATTTATTTTCAAGCTGTTCTGTTATATTTACTGCACTGGCATTTCACCCTCCTGCCCCCCATAGTAGCTCAGAATGTATTAGGACATTTCCTTCTGCTAAGATTCATTTTTACAATGTTTTCATTATCCCATTGCCCCCACCCACCCCAATCACTGCTTCAATTTGCAGAAGCTGAAAAGGAGTAGTGTATCAAGTGACAGGCAGGTTTTCAAGGCCAATTATCAGCTGCGCCAAGACACTGCAGAAAGAGGAGGTGGGGCATGAAGACATGTTCTCCTATCAAAAAGAATTGAGTCTGCTCAGCAAATTAAAATGTTATAAGCCAGAAAATTAAGTTGTTTAGTTGGCAATGGCTGGCTTTGCTGCACAGCACACAACAAGGATCTTGCACGTAAGAAAAGGAAGGAGGAGAAAAGGTTGAAGCCTTACCAGTGAGGCAAAGACATACTTCTGGTCCTTCTCTTGAAGGAATATGAGCATGTCAGAGAGGAGAACAGCCTGGACTTCTGCAAAAGAAAAAGCATACCAGTGCAGTATAACCATGCAACCCGCCCCCGGTTTCTTTTAACACCACCAGTGCTGGGGAGCACTAGGGCTGTTTCTGCAAATCCTGGAAGCAGGGTCAACCTTCCAGTTAGCAGGGGCAGCTCCTGGAGATGCCCAGTCAGGTTAGCTCTGAACCAACTTTGTGTTAAGCAGAACACAACAGCACCTGGAACACCTGCAGGATTTTCTCTTGTATCTCAGAGCAGGGGTGCTCCTCTCCACCCTCATGCTTTCTAACAGTTAGGACATGGGCATAACAGCGAAAGCTAGAGATGCATACTGAATAGAAGTGCTGTTTTCTCAAACAATCAGTATTTTAGCCCTTGAGCAAAATATCTGCACAGGAAGTTTGGGGTTTTATGGTTCTCTTGATGAGTGGTTTGTGGAGTGTAAATTATCGTGCAATAACAACATTTGTCAGCTGCAGTTTCTTTCCCAGGAAATACTGACTTCAGGAGCCACCACTAATTCTGCTCACAGACAAATACAACTCTTGCTGACTCCAAGGGGAGCTGACAGAGCCTGCATGAGATGCAGGACCTGGCTTTCTTTCACGGGAGAAGGAAGCACAACGTCAAGCCAACAGAGGATTTTAAATCAGAATACAGCCTTTTCCCAGAGTACACATACAGCCTTCCAAGTCTCCTAAAGACATATCATAAAGTTGCGCAGCAACTACCAAGTATAATGCCCCACCCAGAGCCCTCAGTACAAAGAGTTTTTGTGTAATGTACTTGGGAAATCTTGTGACAGACAGGAAGCAAACCAAAAAGTTAAATCATCCCATGGGTAATTCCTTCCATTCTGTTTTGGGAAGACAGGATCCGTTCAAGATAAAAGAACCATGCAACTTTAATCAAAGCTGCAAAATGAGCTCCAAGCTCTGGGAGGTTTGCAAAAATCAGCATTTGACTCCGTTATTCTCTATCGTCTTTGCACTTTGCTGGAGGGGATATGCTAAAACCCTTTTAGAAAAGTTCTTCCTATGCTTCCCTGTGTTCCATTTCAAATCCTGCAAAATAGCCTGAACGTATGAACTAGCTACTCTCTCCGTGGGCTCTGAAGCTTGTCTGCAGGACCTGCTTGCCCTGGAAGCTTGCACTACAGATGGAGGTATGTTTATGCACTGCTATGACTTAGAAATGCAGACTGTACTTATCACCAGATTTCACAACAGCAGCACAACTTGCTTCATCCACCATCTACAGTCAGTAGTAATCTTGGGTGCCTAGAAACCATCTGTAAACTTCCTGTTTCCAAAGCCTCAAAATAAATCATAACCGATACGGAATTTTGTGTTAGCACTGCCTCCCTGCACATCATGGAGCCAGGCTACCAGTCCCCATTCATGCCCAACTGCCGTGGTTTAATCAGTTGATGCTGGAATGAGAGAAGGAAAGCCCAGACTTCCTGCCAAGCCTGAGACATAGCCCTGTCTGCTCTTACTGCTACTGTGGTCCCAGCTGAAGGCTTCCTTGGGAGATTTAGTAGAGAACTTCAGTGCTCAGCAGAGCACAGCACCTTAGAAAAACTCTTTCCACCTGATAACAAGAAACCAATTCAAGAAAATGCTGACCAAACAAGAGAGAGCTGCAAGGACACCAGAGCCTCTCCCAAACAGTTTGCATCAGCAGCTGAAGAGGTTTGAGCGCTACAAATGCCCGGGACACCTCTAGTGTCCCAGTGAAACTGGGATGGTAATGCTGATCCTGGGCAGCCCTACCGCAGACCTCAGAGCAAAGGAAAGGCAGTGCTGCTGGAGGGCAGGGCCACCTGGAAGCTGAGGTTGGGTTTCGGATGCAGTGAGCACGTTTCCCGGAATCACTGCACATGCACGTGGTGGTGAGGAGATCTGACGTGCTGCTCCGGGCAAGTGCAGTCCCACCGCATCCTCCTGGCCCAAAGGATCCCCCCCAGCACCTGCGCTCCTTGGCTAACACACTGAGGTGTCACTGCAAGCCAAGCCGCCTTCAGCAGACACGCAGTCACCGGGATGAAAACCAGCTATCTATCACCCCAGAAACAACAGGAGGAATCCGAAACGCTGTGGTGGGAAGCAGGCGTACAGCACGGGGAAGGCTGCTGTCAAAATCTCTTGATGCAGAAGAATAAATAAAAACTGGAGACACCAATCTGATGACTAATCCTACAGCCAGACAGGGTAAGCTGTATCCTCCCCCAGCAGAAGGTAGGATAGTCTTACCTTTTAACCGGCCAGCTGCATTTTTTAGTGAAACAGGCCCATCTCGGATGAGCTTCCGATGCCTCAAGTCCTCTCTTGCAAACATCTGGCCACTCTTCATCCTCATGATGGATTTGCTATCTGTCCGGTTGTAAATCTCACCAAGACGCATTTTCTTTTCGTAATTGCTGACTTTGCTATTGACTGCAGCAATCACATCTTTGACAAGGTTTAATGACTGAGTCAAGTCTTCATGTTCCACTTCATTTTCTTTGAACAGAAAGAGAAATACCTCAATTTCACTTCATCCTTGTGGACTCTATCTTCCTGAAGTTACTTCCTTCCTTCCTCTTCTCCCTCTCAAATTCCTGCATTATTACTTTTTAGTATTTTCATGAGACAGGCTGCATTTCTGTCCATTAAGGAGATTTTGACAAAACCTTTCACATATATGGTTTAGGTTGGGGATTATTCTAATATACTTTGTATATAAGGCAGTACAGATGAAATGCACAAATTGACCATGTATTTTAGCCATTTCCAAAAAAGGCAAGCTGAGCAACTTTTGAGTCTAAGCATGTTGCTCCATAATTAGCTACAGACAGACTTATAACAACTTTATCAAGGCACCTGAATAACTAATCCTAAATGGAGATATGAAACTGAGTTATCTTGTTACAGTGGTGCGAGACAATAATGACTGGATTAGTCAGTCTATTCTAAGAAAATCTGCTTCAGCTAAAAAGGATCCAAGAAATTTACACTGGAGGAACAAATACACGCTTAGAACAGAGAAACCGGTCCCTACCTTTGGTGTACTGCAGTATCCTTTGTAAAAGGACTGGGTACTTTGTGATTCTCTGTGTTACCAACAAGATACATTCAGAAATCCCAAGACGCCTCACCAGGGAGCTGCTCATTTTTTTCTAAGGAACAAAGATTGAAATTTCAGTTCTGTAGCAACACGCTCACCAGAGTGCAGAAAGGACATACTTTTTCTATTGACTATGTCTGTTCTACCAGGTCCTACCTTGACAAATGCCTGAAATCGCTTGTCCTTTGAGTACAGATCTTTGAAGTTATTTACTGCCTCATTGTGATGCCCACAGAATTTGCCGTATGTTTTCTTCATTCGCTCAGCACTCTCGCCAGAGAACTGTAAAACATGAGACACAGAGGTCCAATTTGCACTGAGCTCCTGGTGTGATATCCCAGCAGTGCCTGCCAGTCTCTCAAAAGAATTTGACGAAACCAAATTAGTCCAAAGCATCCTAAGCCAAGCGAGTAGATCTCCAGAAAGTAAAGAGTTGAGTTTGAGACTTCACTGAGCTCACACTTACTGCAAAACTTGGAATTCTACTCACAGGCCTTAAAAGCCAACAACAAAAAAAGTCAAGACAGCCAAAAAGAAGGGAGAAAGCATAGATAAAGAAAAGGAAAATGACCCACCCACAGTTAAATAGCAGGTCAGTAACTCAGCCAAGAGACACATTGGAAATATTTTGCTGTGGGCTACTGCCTACCCTCCAGGCTATGGTCAAACCATTCTGTGCCTGTCAGGGAATGCTCCTCTTTCCAACAAAACAAACCAAAATAATTTTAATCATCAGACCTTCCTCTGAGAGAACAGAAAGTTCTTCAAATAGCTGATGTCAAACCCAGGACAGTAGAGGTGGAGATTTTAACATGTGTGAAGAGTAAAGGTGCCATCTGCTGTAATTATCTAACAGGCATAGACAGGAGGGAAGGAAGAGCACCTGGTTTCCAGCTGTGCTCTCAAAAGTGCAAACATTTTCCAGTGCTTACTTGATTCACTAGGATGTCACCTATCCTCTTGATAACAAAGTTCTTTTCACTTTTGTCTGCCAACGACTCCTTCTTCCTTTCCAGAATCCGCTGGAAGAAGTGACTGTGGATGTGCAGCAAGTTTTCCAGGCAGGGAAAGATCTTGTCCACGACCTGTTGATCATACTGCAGTTCCTTTAACATCCCTGCACTGTAGACATCATTCATGATCTTCAGGGTGCGGACATGATGCATTTCCGTCTGCATTAGCTCTGTATAGGATGAAAACAAGGTCAAAACCAAGGTCACTGTAGAGTACATGGATGTATAGAACAAGGAAAAGCTTCCATTAGAAAGCTTTTCCATAAATGGGCTTCTCTAAGTGGCTTCAGAAAACTTCATGTCAGGTATTGAAACATCAATCGATAGTTTCATGTGTGGGAGAAATAGCGGGGCAGACGAGTCCCACAGTAAGAGCTCTGGACACTGCTGCTGAGGTCTGAACCTTCAGCGCTATTATCTGCTCCTCCAAACACCTCACTGCCAGCCTCAACATAGTGCACTTTTCCCAGACAGGATGGCTTTTGCATCTGGCAGCAAAAGACTTCCTAGCTAGCAGCTCTGCTGTAGCAGAGCCTGAATGTCATGGGCAGACAAATGAGAAGCGATTTCTGGGGTTTTTATGGCTTCTGGATATGCGAAATGCAGGAAGAAGCCTTTCACAGAATATATTATGTTTCAAAGAACTTCAAGAATGAAACTTCAGCTTCTGAGAAAACCCAGTCAATGTTCCTATTTGCTGTATGAAAGCTTCCCAGATCCAGGCATGCAAGTATATCAAGAAGCTATCTACAATGAGGGAAAAATTAAGATGCAGGTATCTCACCATAAATGACATCTTGCCGTTTGACAACGTCTTTGTTTTGCTGCTGTAGGAACCTGCTGTCTACTACTTGGCTCCAGGACTCTGCCTCCAGCTGCTTGGAATCTAATTCCAGGTCTCCCATCAGCTGTCCTTCATTCATGTCTGCACCTTCACAAAGCAATGGAAGTGCCCTTAAGGTGTGGGTAACTTGTCTCACTTGAGATTCCTGTCTATTCATTTAGGTTTAGGCTTCCTTTGTCATACCACAGACATCACACACATTCTCCTTCACTGACACAAAAATGATAGTATGGAATTATACCACATAAGGACCAGGTTATGAAAAGCACCTTTAAAGGTTATTTGCTAGTTGCACAAAACTAATCCACTGTTTTCACACAAACCAAATTCTAGCTCAGATAAAAGACAACGGATTCTTTATCTGCGATGCAACAACATCACAGATAAATAAAAAACCCCACAACACCCAGTTTGTAAATGACTTCATTTACATCACTGAATCGAGGGAACTTAGACCTATGCGAAGTCTGTGTTTTCAAGCTTAGAAAGCCAGAACTGATGCAGGTAGAAGTGAACACTATGTACATTACATACACACATATGTGTTTTTAAGAAAGATTGTTGATTTGTACAGGGAGTGGGAAATTTTCTCTTGTGACCATGAGCATGCCCTTCTTTAGTCCTTAATAAATAAATACCATTCTGCTCTTTTCAGGGAAATATTGGCTAAGATGTAAACATACTGATTATATCCTAAAAAAGCACCACATATAAAAACATTTAAACTTAAGAAATTAATTTAACTGACTTCACTTTCAAACCCACAAAACTAAACAATATGCTTCTTCCTTCCCCACTATGGAAAAAATACAAAACGCAAGACATCAGCATGAAGAAAGGTGACAGAGTGCAAAATCTGTGGCTGTATGAATGGGCCAGAGATAAAGAAGGAAAGAGGAAATGTTTGTCCCTGAGCTAAATTCCAAGTAACACAACCGTAACCAAAACCTCCTAAATGTTCTTCCACAATTCAGTAAGCTAAAGATATTACTATGTGGGGCTTTGTTTTAGTTTATCATACTAATATTCTCAGATTAAAGTAAATGCACTTTAACTGTCCATTAGAAAGGAAGACACTTGCTGAAATGCCAAAATGGATTTTCTATTTCTGGAAAGCAGCAGTGAGACCTTCATTTTGCTATGGGGATCTCTTACCTTCATCAACCAGTGACTCCATGGATTCATTCACTCGGCTGATTTTATGTAAGGAGTCTGTTGACTGTGACAGGAATTTCCAGGTATGTATTAAGTTGTCATCGTTCCCAACTCTGCAGAAAACCAGAACGCAGAATATTGTTTATGACATAGAAAACCCAGCCAAATATACTTTCAAATACACAGAAGAAATGCATTTTAAATATGAACTGAAAACCAAAGCAAGTGTTGCAGTTATGTATAGAAATGTACTTTTATTGTTTCTAAAAACTACCTACTGGGGCTCAACAAGCTGTCAGATCTACAGTTCCACGTGATGGTGCTTCTTCTACAAAGAATCACACCTGAGATTTTATGGTTTGGATAACTCCTTTTCATTACTTTCCGTTTTACAGTCACATCCCACCCTCATTGTCCTTGGTGCAAGCAGTGCAAAAATGCAACACAAAAGTCTATCCAAGAGTCTTTATCACTAGCTTTGAGAAAGATCAGAAAAATGGACTGAAATAAATTCCACCATTGATGGCCAGGGCCTACAAACTGTCCAGAACATGCCAATCCATGCTGCTGGCCTGTGTGTAGAACTGCTCAATACGCAGGTAGTGCAGGAACCATAAATTAGATTTTCTTCTATGATTTTTTTTGTAATTAATTGTGCACAATGCAGTCCTAAACCACCATGAAGACTACAGCTCTGTCCCTCTGTTATGGACACAAAAGTTAATACTATACCCGAGCTGCAAACGTGTGCTTGCACAGCACCCAGCCCAAGGCAAGGGAATTTCCTTCTGGAGCCCAAAGCACCTCTGTGAAGTGGCCTTGAATATAACCAGGGCAACTCAGATGCCTCTGAACTCATGCCATGATCAAACTAACTCAGACAATCTGACTGTGCATAAGACAAGTGATGGTATCACATATAATACGGGTATTTCTGGTTTTGTGATCCTCTTCTGTACCTTTAGCACAAATCATAGCACACAATTTTTAATGCGGTCTGTATTCCTCTGTGCTCACAGTGTCAGATAATACCCACGTACTCGCACACACAGGGAGAAACCTTACCCTGCAATGTTCTGTATTGAGACACTTTTTGAAAGTGCTGTAGTCTGTTGTGATCTCCTGTTATTGAATATTGAGGTTACGGTGTTTTCATCAGGAGCAAGTATCGCAGAGCGAGGGCGCTCCTTCGGTTGTGAGCCTGGAAGGGAAGTGTCAGAGAAAAGTCAGCTCATGCAACTGCACTGTTAACTGTGATGATGATGACTTAGTGAAACCAGGTTCTAAAATTCACTTACTTTTCTTTCTAGAGTTGTCACCGGGAGATCTCAGCTGTCAGAAACAGCCATACGAAGGAAAGAACATCAACCCCTGTGCAGAACTGACTGCATTGCACTATGCTTAAAAGATCTATGTGGGAACTACAAGTCCAGAAACATACACTTGGGAAACTGAATTTTATTTGATAAATAATCGCATGTAGCAATCTACTATGTTGCTTTTTAATTTCCCTGGACCTATAATTATATATATCTTCCTCCATCTGCTCAAATATTTTGAGATAGTTTTCTCTATCAATATGTATGACAGAGAAATGCTAATCCTTATCTCATTACACTATCACATACCTTTAACTAATTTTTTCATATTAATTTCAGATTTTCCCTTCTTCAGATGCATTTCTGCTTTCTGGAGCGATGCTTCTGAATATCATTGTAAATACCAAAGTGGGTGCATCTGTATCACACAGTGTGGTTCCATAGAGCAATCTCCAAGCTATCACTAAATAAGCTTATCAAATCATGGCACTACAAACCCCATGTGGGCTATTTCACTCCTATTCTTTGCCCTCAGTCACACTGGGTAGCTCCGCAGTGCAGCCAGGAGAAGTCTGTCAGTATTGCTCCTATTCAAAATCAAACTTTCTGGTTTTTACTACCTCAAAGCATAAGGCTATTTAAATTAAAAAAAAAAAAACAAAACCAAAAACAAAACAAAACAAAAAAAAAAACCACAAAAAATATTTTGAACAACCATCCTCTCCACTTGTAATCTTAAGAATTTCTGTAAATATAAGATTATAGTTGTATTCTTTCCAATGTCAGACATCCATGGACATAGGCTGTGTCTTCCAGATTTTGTGGATTTACCAGCCGTAGGCCTTCAGCAAGCTGCAGCAGCCAAGTAGTTATTTTAAATCTACAATGACTTTACAGTTGCTTAAAGCTGCATGTACACTGCAGAGATGGATGAACTCTGTGCAACTTCAGTACAACTTCTGAAATCCCAAACACTGCATATCATGCACAGAAGATGCTCTCATTCCTGCTTTTATAAATGCTTATCTTTCATAATATCAAATATTGGTTATCAGAACAGTTAAGAAAATCAGATACAGACCATCAACAAAGCAGAGGGAAAAGAAGTTTTCTTACTTTTGTTTCTCATGGTTACTGTGGGTAAGGAAGAGGTATCATGTGCCTGCAGCATCCCTCTCTGTGGCTGAAAGAAAAATTAAGTTCACTGTAATTTCTTCCTCCCTTCTCCCACCAGCCTGTGCCACATCACTAAAATAAAGCCTTATGTTTTTTCTGAATCCTCTCAGAACAGATCAGTTCTCAGTTGTATGTGTATTTTTTATATGTATATGTGTGTGTGTATATATATTATATGTACTCATGCACACACACAAGTCTCCCCACCAAGTTCTCATGAATGAAGTGGGCAAAATAACAGACGGAGAAATGTGAAGGAAATAGGAAAAAGAAAAGAGAAAAAGGCTGATAATACTGAAGAGAACTGAAAATCGTAATAGTATAAACATTAACTAGCTTGAAGGACCATGCTGCAGAAGAGGTTCCTCACATTTGGGCAAGCATGAATTCATGAATTCTGCACACTTCTCATATAAACAACATACATATTTAACCCTTTTCATTATGTATTATATACACATGATGCTGCATTACAGGATGCAGCATTTGAGAATTAAGAGATATGGCATTTAAGGGTGCTGGACACCCCTGAATTTTGCCAGTGAAGTGTGGTTGGTTGTTTTGGGTTTGTTTTTTTTTTTTTTTTTTTTTTAATTGAAGCATAGGACAGACCATGTTACCATAAGGTCCCTGCGTACTTCAGGGAACAACTCTGGAAATTCGCTGCCAACAAACACCTTGTGGCGCTGACCTGGAGCGTTCACAGAGTCCCAGGGATAACTACTGTATTGAAATGTGGTTTTGGGGAATTTCAGGAGAGCCCAGAGAAATTATTCACTATAACACAGGGGCTAAAGTGCTTTCCGATAAGTTGGGAACTTTGAGACATATGGTAAAGACGTTATATATCTGCATGCTAAATTGTTTAAACTTTTTTGTTTATTCATTAGAGTATATCAAATCTCTTACCTTCATTTTGACCTTTGCACAAGAAGCAAAACTCTCCTTACAGCCTTTGTGAACAATTGCATTGCAGTCTGTAAAAAGTAAAAAACCCAACCAATTAAACACACACAGAAAACAGGTCAGTTTTTGCTGTTTATAATCTGAACTGTTATCTTGAACAACTGAGAATTATAGCTTTCAGGCATCACTGTGGTTTACATGAGGAGCTACAGATACTGAGACACTGGCTGCTTTCCTGGATAATGAGCCCTTTGTTTGTTAACAAGATTTCCTCATGGATTTTAACAGGAAATTCTGTTTAAAAATCAATGCAAGGTTGAGTCGCCAGGGTCCTAATGGGTCTTCAATTTAAAAAAAAAAAAGAAAAAAAAAAAAGAAAACAAAAAAAAAGAAAACAAAAAAAAGAAAAAAGATGGAGTTGTTCCTCTGAAAGAAAAGTAAAGTAGAAGGCAGGAACAGGAGGCTGAAAAAGAAACCAATTGTAGGGCAAATATTTTTTCTGAAAACATAAATAATGTTCTTATCAAGACAAGGATTATGGGATCCGAAAGACAGGAAAAGGACAGGAAAATTCATTTACATAAACTCAGACATATCATAGCCAAGATCTACAGTACAGGAACCAAGTGCTACTGTACTGCAGGATTATCAGAAAAAGTAACAGGAGCATCTGCCAGGTGACTGCATCCATGAGCTTGGGACTTCCTGCTGAAAACTCAACTGAAGCCACCTTTTTGGTCCAAAACCACAACATTTACCAATGCAAGCAGCATCATGCTTTAACACCACTCTTTGTTGCATATATACCAGAACAGAAGCTGACTATCTTTTTTGGAATACACTGAGTCTGCCTATGATCTCTGCCAGCAGATTTTGGGGAATCAAAGTTTTCAAAAGTGATTAAAACAGTTTTGGTTTTTTTTTTGTAATAATTTGTAATTGGGTTTGGAACAATAACTCTTCTGACAGATGAAAGATAACAACTCAAATGCTCTCTAATGAGATTCAATTGCTTAGAGAACACCTGTTATTTCCACTCATTCATAAAAACATATATTAACAGAGACCATGAATTATATTTTAAGTGTACACTACACTGTAAGCATACAGTTCTGAATTATTTCTAGAAGAAATATGAAAGGAAAAAATTCCATGCTCAGAATGACAAAAAATGCTCACATTCCTAAAATTTCTTACATTTGTGCCTATTTAAAAAAGCCAGTAACTCTTCTGATATTTTGAGAGAGGTAAGGGTAAGGCCATAGGGCGTTGCTATGCTGTCAATGTCCCACAATTTCCTGTGCAAGAGACAGAAGTAACAAACCTGCTTGTTCTTGCAAAAACCCACAAGCAGTATCATTTCTCAGATCAAACAAGGAAGAGAGACAGAACTTGCTTCTGGTGCATGAAAATAGGCAGTGAGACAATTCAGAACCATTAAATTCACACTCAAAGCCTGAAAGCCTGAAGGCAGCTCTTCAGTATGTACCATTTAGCAATAGAGCATTTTGATTTTTTAGATCAAAAAATCTGGTTTCAGGAATTTTATTCCTCCAATTCAACTCTTCAGCAGGCAGGAAGTTCCTCCAGCTCCTCTGTGTCACTACTATTAATAATTAAAACTCCAAAAAGCTTATTTTCTGCATCACTGATCATAAAAAAATAAAAAAGACCAGACAGAGAACTATTAAAAATTAGGACTTTTTGCTTGCCCATTTGTTTTAGAGTATGCTAAATCAGCATTGACTAGCTGTTTCAGGAAGCTGAGGGCATCACTGAAAAGTTAAGACATTGACTTTAAATGATCCGGCGCTTTAAAAGACATTAAGAAAAAGTCATCCATCGGCAAGACAGAGCGGTGATGGTAGCAGTAAAGCACTGACACTTCTGTAGGAAAAAAGCAGTCTGCAACAACACGGGAATAACAGAGCCTCTCTGCTGGTTATCAGTCATTTCCAAGGCATTTAATGGCTGATTTTAAGATGCAAGGGGAGAAAGGACCTCGTTCAGATGTGAGCTTACAACCTGGGCCCTGACCAAACTTTCCTTGGAGCATTAATTTTCTGGCCAATGCAGAAAACTTACAGTAATTTTCTGTTGTACCTTGAAAAATAAGAAAAGAACGTCTATGCTAAAACATATGACATTGTTGGATTATTTTAACTCGTTAGGATATAGAGTTAAATCAGGTTATATTTGATTTTCTAAGTGGCTTCAGAAGCTGTTAAGAAAGTCGAGTGGGGAAAGGCAGAGGATTCATCTGAGAGCTTATGATTGTTGATGTTTTCCATTTCCCATCAGGCTGACACAGAGTGTGTCTCATGAAAACAACTTTGCTGAAATCTATTCTTTTCCAGGAAACTCAAAACTGCCATTCAGGATTCAGCTGGCTGCTCCTTCCCCTACTCACTGGAGATGTTGTATACGCTGCTCGTCTACTAGAAGGACCAGAGAGAGAGCCTCCTGCTCCAGCCTGCTTTGACTCATCTCTAGGCTAGTGGAATGAAAAAAATTACTGAACAGTGAGGAACGGAGAGCCTTGAGCTGCAGTGGAAAAAAGACATTTTTGTCTGCATATTCTATAGCTTTGTGTTGCTGCATAAACCAGTCACTATTCTGGTCTTGACCACACAAATGCTGCTGACCTTACTGAGCTACAGGCATGAGAAACTGATAAGAAAAGAGAACAAAATCACCAATCTCGCAGAAAGCCTCCACTGTGGTTCCTGTACTGCCTATACTGTATTGCACGTACTTCACATGCACACAGGTAGCTGCCATTTGACCTGTGATGTAATTTCACGTATAAAGGGAGGAGAGGGTATTTCCTTTTTGTATCATGCTGTTCTCACTGAGGACTCACTGAAGCAGTGTTTCAGAGAACTAAAGCAATACACTACAGGTGGGTAGGATGTTTTTTTTTTTTCCCCATGGGAAATAAAAGCCATGATCCAAGCCAGTTTTCCCTGTCCTCCATCCATCTTACAACACCTCAGCCCCAAGCCATAACATGCAGCTGAAATAACCAAAGTCTTCCAGCTGACTAATCCATTCCAACAATCAGGGGCAGAAAACCCCATGGGACGCTGCGATGTCCAAGCACAGGTTAGGAAGGAGGTTGCAGGACACCTCCTTGCAGCCACGACTCATTTCAGTCCAGCTTCCATACGGCAACACGCCGCTCCATGAATCACTATCTCCAAAGTCTCTCTCCCACCCCACATCCTTAAGCAAGAGGAAAATAAAACATAAGGTTTATATTTCCCATGTCAGATTTAATGAAAAACAAAAGGAAGGGCGGGGGGAAAACCCCTGACTTACTTGCACAGTAGTACGAATCCTTATTGAAAGGTTTCATACAGTGGTAACAGGTTGCCTGGGCTACAACAGAGGTTGCAGTGAAGAGATGTCCATTTAGCAGTTTCTTATCTTTTTCCTTCTCCTTGGAATCTTTGTCCTTCTCTTTAGTCTTCTCTTTATCTTTCTCTTTTTCCTGCCGAGAGAAAATGAACAAACGTCTTGTTACTTCGCAGAAGTCTATCCTCTAGTTACAAATTCTTCAGTGTTTGCCTTTGGCACTATGACGATATCGATCCGTGCACACCTTAACAGTAGTCATGTGTCTGCACAGGTTTCTTAAAAAAATCAGGTAACAGCACCCATGGGTGTGGATTAACATGTTATTGACTCGCAGAGTCTTCTGCATGGGCATCGCACCAGCAGAGACAAAATTTAGTCTGTTCTGAAAGCAGCTCTTTTCTTTCACCTTTGTTTTATATTTGCTTGCTTTGATGACTTACCTCTTTTTTTCTTCTGGGCTCTCATCATGCCCTTCAGCATTTTCAATGAATTGTGTTAAATACAAACACCACACGTAATGTGTATCAAACTTTCAACACAGTTAATTTTTAAGGCCAACCGTAAGACTCATGCTTTGCAACTGCAATTTTAATGGAGAACATAAGCCCCTCCTCAGTGGCTTTACAGCATCACTGCCAGAATATTTTACACCTCTGTTTTCCTTCTGACTAGCAAGTTTTTCAACAGTTTCATGCAACTCCAAGTAACTATATGAAGCTTTCTGGGGAAATGGATATTTCAAACCCTTGAAATATGGCACCACAGAAAGGCAGAGGAACAACAGCAGCACCATAAAAGATTATCTTGTCATCTAGGAGCTATGGTTCAACCTCTGAGCTACTCAGCTTTGGAAAGATGACAAGCACAGCCAGTTTCTCCAACTTTTAGCAGGTTTTGCCTACCCTTCTATCACCACCTGAGTTAGAAATGCTAAATATTAAAAATTTAACACATTTTCCCTGCAGCCTTTTGTGAATTTGGAATTCTTCCAAACACTTTTTAAAGGAAACTCCATAGAAAAACTCCAAATTTGCATTGTAGCAACTTCTTGTCTTTCTATGTACCACCCTACAAAACATTTACCATACAATTCAGCTCCACATCTGTATTTAACTGTTACTGCAGATTTCATGGCATCTGAAAGAAAAGCTTAACCAGCAATTGGAAAAGGCTTCTGTGAGCTTATCTTTGCATTTTGTTATTTATACGACACGTGCCCTTCGCTAAATATTGTCACAGCCCAAATATCAGCCCATGTGAGCAACCGCCATGAAGTGGTTAAAAGAGGTACTGAGCTCTGCAGTTACCCGCAGGGAAACTGTTCAGTCTTTGATGACAAACTCAAATGATTAGTAACTCAGCCTAAGGTTTCCCCTCTCCCAGCACACTCTAGGCAAAATGTCAGTGTCAGAGTCTCTCCCTGCAAAACCTCATAAACAGAAAGTCTATTTACTGGCCCCAAATGCTACTTTGTTCACCAAAAAAAGCAAAACCGGGCGCATTACTGTATGGAATAATCCTGTCTGAAGCAGAAAACCTGCCGAGAAAAGTCTGCTTTGCACATCTCCACCTTCTCTGAGTCATCAGCTTGGATCACCACCCCAGGTAAACGTCCACAGCCCCATTTCTGCATCTACTGACCTGCCCACCTTTAACCATGTCAAGCCTGTCAGGATTCAAGAACTAAAACTCTGCAGCTTAGCCCTTGGCCAATGGTACCAAGCTGACACCTGGCGTTTTGCTGTATTGCCAGGACTTGTGAAGCTTCAGGAGAAAAGATCATCTTACGCTCAAGGTAGATATTGGGACTCTCACGCTTAAAATGTTGAAAGGAGATTCACCATCCTATACTTTAAATGTACCCGATGTTTACTGCAAAGCCCAGAAATTCCAGTCTGGAATAATACCCTGTCTTCATAAAAATCACTGTAAAAAAAACATCTTAATTTAAAGCTAAACAACCCCAGGAAAAAACAGGAAACGAGTGCACCATTTTCAAGAAGGAAACAGCAAACTTCATACATGGGATGCCAGCCATACCACTGAAGCACAAGGTCTCAAAATGAGATTTTATTAGTTCTACTTTTTTTCCCTATGAGAGTTACTGCAACTTTTTTTTTTTAAAAAAGGATTGTGAAAACAAAACCATTTTCCTGAACTATTGGAGCTGCCAGCGTGACCCGAAGCACAGCTTCACGACTGAACCTGCACCGACGTGCACCAGCAGACACGACAGGTACCGCAAATCGGTCGTACGGCCCAAAAGAACAGACCGTGCGCTGCAGCAGCGGATCCTGCTCCAAAATAACCATGAAGCTCTTACCTCCCAATGCTTAAGTCCTACTAGCTTCACTGTTATTTGAGGTACTTCGGCAAATCTATTCCATTTTATCGACATCCTTCCTCTGGGGGCAGGAGAGCTGCTCCCCACCACCATTAGCCCATTGCAACGGCCGAGAGCTGCCAGCACGGCCAGCCCGGGGGGACGGCAGTCACAGAGGAGTTGAGCAAAAGGGGGAGGGCGGGACGATTGCTGCTAACTTCCTCGAAGATGATTTTTGCTACTTCGCTATTGCTTTCATCTTGCCCTACCCTATCTTCTACTGCTAAAAAAAAAAGCCAAAAAAACCTAAAAAGCAAAAGTACAGGCAGGAAAGGATGGGATTAATATTTTAGTAAGTCACAAGTCAAGATGTGACCAACCATTTAAAAAGCAGAGGGTGGTAAATTAAACCCTCTGTGACGTTTAGGATACAGCAAAAGTGAGTTTTAACATACCTCAGTGTTGCTATGTAGTACTTCAGTAAACGAAGTGCTGCAGAAGATTTCCCAGGCAGAAAGGTTTCATGTGTTTGTGCTCCTGCTTCTCTACAGGTCACAAATATTCCCTGTCTCCTAGTCCTTTCAAACACTTACAAGCCTTACTATAGACACCGAAATGCTGTTGGTGGTATAGCACTAGTAACTAGCCTAGTAACTGTGCAAGTCAAGCAAAAAAGAGAAATTACTCATGCTAATTTTTTTTGTCATCATTTCCCAGAAACTCTCTACCAAAATGAAGAAAATTAGTATTTTTTCTTTCTTCTAATTGACAGCTTGATTTAGACGTCACAAATGGGAATCAGTGCACGCTGCTCATAAAAGAAATTTGCTGACTAATACCCAAATAACACAAAGTACATGCCAGATACGGGTAGATTCACACAAACTTCTATCAGTATCACTTCCAGGTAATTCTCCAAACACCCCTTTATTTGTTATTTTTTTTTTTTTACACAACTGTTTACACTATTTTCAAAAAGAGCCATTGCTACTAGTAGGCTCAGATGTGCTTTATTTTACAGTTCATCTTAGAAAATGGTGCATTTCTGAAGGTCTGGAGAAAAGTAAAACCTAGTTGGAAAGAAGCTGAAGCCTCCCCTCCCTCCTGACAGCCCAGACAGCAGCAGAAACCAACTCTTCCTGTCCAACTTCCTCTTTCAAGGTTTGTTGTTTTTCTTTTTAACTCTTGCAGATTTTCATCAGCCATAATCCTTCTGAGAAATCATTGTTCCCAAGAATTTTTAGGTCAAATTATTTAATTGTACAGCTGAAGCCCTAGGAATATATGTAATGCAAACATTCCACCGTGAGCAGAGAAGAAATTGTAACCTGAATGATATTATGGCTTTTTAGTTTGTAAAAATATCAGAACTGATAGAAGCTGCATTTTTTGTAGTGTGTATTATTGGTGGGATTTTGGAGCAATTCTTTATCAATAGTTTCAAACACAATCATGAAATTAGTGAAATCAGACTGCACTTATTTAACAAAAGCAGAGCAAATATCTCAAAGCACTTCTATTTTCTTACCTGTCCCAACCAGATCTCTTTTTTAATATATATAAATACTTCTCTGCAGTTTTTGCTTTAGAGATTACACACCCAAAGTGCAAGAACCAGTTAATGAATTTCCAGTATCGTTCACAGGCTGTGCAACATGCTCCGCAATGTCTCGCCAGTGGTTTGCACAGAGGTTTATACGTAAACAGGTTTTGTTTTTTTTTTTTGACATTGTACTTTGCAGCAGGGAACAGCAGTGTCTTAAAGCTGCTCAGCAGTAGCTCTGAGCCACCTGTACTTGCAGCTTGTATGTTTAAAGGCAGATCCATAAAGAGGAACTGTGCATTAGGATGAGTGATCTCACTACAGCTGCTACCTCATTGCGAAGGTGATGCAATCTTCCAAAAACGTGTATCAAAATGTGTGCTGGACCACAAAAGCACAGAACCCCAGCTATGTTAGAGGAACACTCAGGCTGAAACATCGATTCTTACATCGGGAAAGACTAAAATCAAGTTTTCTCGTGCAGATGAAACGTGACCCCTCCCATATGTGAGTGCTTCAGCCCAGCCTTATTCTGCGATAGGCACAATGCTCATTATGCCACATTTTGTTTCCTGTTTGCTCTTCAGACGCTCATCAGAATATGTAAGCAAGTGTCTCAGGGGCCCCCCAATAGCATTTACCAACGTATTAGCTACACATCACCTACCTATACAATACATATTGCCCACTGTGTGGTAAGGTGCTCTTAGCTTCCGTCAGACATGATAAACCAAGGTGAGATTCAAATAAAAAATCCAACCAAGCCAAAAAAACCCCAAACATACATTAATCTTCAGGGGACAATCTAAGGCAACAACAGTCCATCTGTGTGACGTATTTATCATTAATGTAATTATTTCTATAACCAATGCTGTTCCTAGGAAATTCAGTTGTGCTGAGCAGCGTTTAACCTTCAGCAAATTAAATCCCAGGATATTAAGGATAGAAAAAAGGGGAAAACATAAACGTTGGCCATCACTAAAGGTCATGGCTTGAGCAACTTCTCCAGCAGTGCATGGGACCTTTGTGGCAAAGGGAAAAATAAAAGCAAAACACAATACAGCCTTCAGCAGCCAGTCCTGTCTTCATTTTATTAAACACCTCTCAGGTTCTGTAAAAATTAGATCCATCAATCACTGCAAAGCTGTAACTCATGCTGGAGCACAATCTATTCTCTATAATAAATGAAGCTTCATTCTGTGGGGAAAAGAGGCAAAACCACTGCACAGGAAAACTCACAGATGCATTTCAATTTTAGGGTGCTAAGGTTTCCCATGTACCTATTCCTTATTGCCCCACAGACAATCCTCCCCTCGCAAAAGGAAGAAAAGAAGAAAAAAGAAAGGAAGCCAGGCAGGGACATAAATACCACTCTATGGAAACACACTGAAACACAGAATTCATCTCTGCTACCTGTGGGTATTTCATGGCTGTATAAAACACAAGAAGCACTTACTTTGCTCTTCTTGCTGCTTGACATTTTATTCCTGAGGTAGCTGAAGGTGCGACTGACTTTTGTTACACTTTTACCAGTGGGGACACTGCTGCTCTCTTCAGATATGCTAAAATCAAAAAAGAAAGAGGTTGCTTTGATTTATTTTTTTTTTTCTCCCAAGCACCTATTAAATGGATAGATACTTTTTAAAATGGCAAATGCATTTATTATCCAACAGGGTCACAGGTTGCTTTATGGTGTTATACCAGAGAAAGCAAAGACAAAATGCCAATCCAATAGTTTCTCATTTATTTCAAGGAATCATTTTATCTGTTTTTAAGCAATCTCCACTCTCAAACCATGCCACAGCACCCTCTGCTGCTTCTGTGCCCAAATAACCACCATCCAACTTGCAGCATCTGCCAATATTGCAGATATGCAGTCAGCCTTGGCATTTAATCATTGATATTTCAGACAGAAGGGGATAGACACATCCTTTAAAGAGAAATCTACTTCCAGAGAAAAGCATTTAATGAACTCTGAAAAGGCAGAGAGTGTCATTAACAGAAATCACACTGTCTGCAAAGCCTCCCCTGAGAAATGAGCATACCAATATTAAGCAATAATAGCAATAGTTATTTGTATTAATTTAGGCATTTCTGGGACACCAGATATTTTCTGCCAGTCTTTACATGCACAAGCTTCTAAATGCTTTAGCTTCTATGGAAGAATAAGAAATTATGGAGGAAACTATTACTGCATTATAGGACAGTCTGTCAATACGAAATACAACACAAACCAAAAGGAGAACGAGAGAAAAACAAATTAAATCAAGAAGAAAACAGCAGCGAGCAGGGGTGAAGAGCCTCCCAGCCACAAAATAAAGCCGAAGCTATCAGTGACACAGAGACCAGACACCCAGCTCCTTTGGTGCCACAAACGTCCTTCCTCCAGGGAAGTGCTTTGACAGCTAGCACTCACCAGAAAGATTATCTCCTCTCTACAGCTTGCAAGGACGAAAAGTAATGTACAAAAACATGATTGTTTTGGCCTTCATTATAGAAATATAATGAAATATTACAGAAATATAATTAAATATTACAGAATTAACCAAAGGGAGGAACAACTACTTTTAGTGTAAAATATAACTCAGGGTAAACTGATATTGTTTGAGAATAGATAATCTGGTATGTTATTAGCTATGAATAAACACAAAGCCTTGTTAGAGATGAGACCTAGAACAGACTTTCATATTCTATGATCCAAAATATTCTTCAGCCTTGAAGACACACAGGACTGATTTTCACAAGCCTGACAACTTGTGATTTCAGCTGAAGGGCACTGCTGCCAGGAAGGCTTTTGGGTGTCCAAATGAGAGCCCACTGCAGAAGCCACACCAGAAGAGACGTGAACCCCCAGAATACTGTACCTCTGAACCGAGGAACCCGTGGGGCCGCCAAATGCCTGCGAACCTGAAAAGATCGGAGGGGTGGGGAGTGACACATTAGACTGCAATCTTAGCCCACTGATTTTAAAAAACATAGTTTGCATATGTGGATGGTTCAAAGAGGAAGGGGACATGTTTTCCAGAAGTGTTTAGAATAGATTTCATGTGTTCAGGATAAAGCCTGTTCCCTGTATCCTTAGGTGCTCTCAAAGTAGATGCTGAGGTGAAAGCCTGCTTAGAATTTTTATTGTCCTTCAGCTACTAAGCAAAGGATGTGCATCTGCTAAATTTGCTGGTAAATCAGGGTATCTGAATCAGAATTGCCAATTCAATGACAATAGGTATAAATGAGAATCAGTCTGTCACAATGCTTTTATTTATACACCACTAGAAAGAATCTATTGTATAACACATCCGGGTTTTATGTATAAAACTTTTCTGCTTGATAAAATTATAGTTCATTTTCCCATCAAAATCCCGAAACACTTCATAAAGAGTAAGGGAAACAAGCGAAGCCTTATTCCATTTTCCACGAAACGCTACCAGCCTAGGGCTTAGTCACAAAACAGTGTGCTTGAGGAAAGTCTGACTTTTGACATGAAGCTGAAGCACTGCCAATGACACAAATTCTCTTTATACCACAAGAAACGAGCTTGCACAATGCATTTGGAGCAGATTAGGTAGCTGACACCATTTACCAGAACCATCGAAGAATACTGAAAAATCAGGATGAAACGATCCAGAGAAGAGGGGGCTCTCTCCAAGCTAACCGGGCTTGTCAGGACTCCAGAAAACCCTCACTACAAGCACTGTTTGCAATCCTATCTGAAGTCCAAGAAGCAGCATGACTGATCATCTTATTATGCTTCTGCATATACATTGTAAGAAAAACAGTACTTTGGCTTCAAATTCTGTCAACATATTAAAGCTAGGGGTGAATGCAAAAGAGCCACTTGACATCAGAGACAAAGATGATCCTCTATCCAAAAGCAGTAAGTGCAATAGGAAAAACTGTGCATACAATATTATGCCTTATGATTCTAAGATACACATTTTCCTAACTGCTGATTCAAGTGTCAATACAGTCTGAGACAGAAATATCATTTCTTCATATTCAGAAACTAAAAGAGAGGCATACCCCATTACCTAATCCCTACTAGATCTCTGTTAATATCTCCCTTGCAAAATCTTTCATCTAATTAATGATCTATCCAAAAATACTTCATAGTATATATAGTAATACTGTAACATTTATCAGATGAAGTCTACTATTCAATTTCCTGACTGTGCTGGGTTTTTATATAATATCTACTACCTAAGTGCCTACTAAAATCACACAAGTAATTTACCCCAATCCCAAATCCCTGGTTAATGCTCCAGGGACTCTGGTTCACATTTCAGCTCTAGTTTGCTTTTAACATGGGTTAAGCCCCCTTAGTCTTTCCTTTTTTTAATAGATTCATCAATTTGACTGGATTTAAGTATTTCACAAACCTTTTTGTTTCTTTGCAGTTAATGTAAGAAATATGAAGGAACGCTGAACCAAGAGCTGTAATAATTTGATATTTGTGTCTGTTTTTCAGCACCTTGAGAAAGTACATTGCATGGGAACTTCAATTATGTACTATTTATCTTTTACTGCAATAGTATTTTATCTTAAAATTGGGAGATTATTGACACTGGCAGACAAAATGGATCCAGACAAAAAACAAGGTGAAAGACTTTTTATGATTTCATATTTTAGGTTACAATATAACATCATATGATCACCACTGTGCTGGCAAGCTATAAAGCCCATGAAGATAAGAATAGAAAACCACACATTTTCTCACCTTCAGTTTTTTTTTTTTTTGAAGTAGAAGAGGGGAAGAAAGTTTTATTTCCATAATTTTTGTGTTTCCTATCATGACCAGGTTCAAAACTGAAAAGCTAAAACTGACTTCACAACCCACAAAAGAAGATAGTTTTGTTCAAAGGTCAGGACTGCTATCTATGTCCAATGAATCTTGTCTAGGAGCCAAATTTGGTGTACTTATCTGAACACCTTTTAAGCATCACCCACCCAAATTATTTCATATGGTAGCTGGACTTGAAATAATTCATCAAGGTCCATTGTGCAGAAAGCAGTGACTGGACTAGAATGTTGCAAACAAAAGAAACCACCTTGCAACTCCTTAATGCTGACAGTAATTAAACTTTTGTGGGTCAAGCAATCCAAAGGCTTCATAATGGTTTTCTAAAATGCACAGACTGGCTTGTCCAGCTGCCTGATATCCACGTCTTAAATACGTCATGATATCAAACAAACTGCAACTAATTCTCCATCCTCTAGAGAAAAACAGGCATAGAGAGGTTGAGGAGCAGTAACTGAAATGCAAGTGCAATCTCAGTGTTAACACATCCATCCTCTTATGAGAAATGAACACTGAAGACATGAAAAAATAAACAAACTGGTCTGGGATTACTACATGAAAAATGCCCATCGCCAAAGCAGTTTTATGAACAGCTGTGGCTAAACCAACCTTTATATAAAGTCACCACAGTACCCTCAAATATGTGGGAATAAAACACATGTAAAGAAAGTAACATTTTTGAGACAATATCTGACATTATTTTAAATGCTCATCATTAACAGCAGCAGTGATGAGGGAGAGAAGATAAATACTGGCTAACAGAAATACACCCCAAAATTGCTATGGCCTAACCTGACTATTAGGCATTAATTAAATGGTTGGGTGCAAACATAAATAATAAAAAAGAGAAAAACAAACCAAAACCCCCCAAAAACAAAACAAAACCAAAACAAATCCACCAAAAAGCTTAGCCAAGAGCATGACATCAACACGCAGCTGTGTGCTTGCAGTCCTCTTTGTGGGGACCCTGAATTGTGAGTTTTGTTAAAGCAGAAGAGAAGGACAGAGCAAAAGGGAAGGAGGAAGGAGCTTAAATATGGAATTGCGTAGTATTACACCTGGAAAGAGCATGGGACTTTCTTGTACAATGGGACAAACCCACAGCAAAGCCTGGGAATGGAAAGGAGAATTTAGATACCTACAACATGGATTGTGTGGAGATTTTTTAAATTCAGGAAGTAACCAAATCTGTTGGACTGGAAACCAATTTCCCCCATCCCAGTATGGACAGGAGGGATGTGGGCTAGCTTCCTTGCAAACCTTTGATTTTAATTAACTAACGCAGCCGCTCTGAATTTTCTCTTTAGATAGAGAATTATCTGTTCTGGTTTATTTCAACAGTCTAATAAAACATGCTTAAGAAATAGGAAACATTTTCAATTATCTTTGATATGCCTATTTAAAAAAAGCAAGAGGAATCCAAATTACTTTAATTCAATCTTCTGCCTTAGTTGGGTTTCTTTTAGCAATGGAGTTTGCAGGAAGGGAAAAAAGCTACCATGTAACACTGGCCTGTTTCCCAACAAAACTATTCTGATTATAGTATCAGGACCAAGATATGAACTGCTTGACAATTTAAGGTGTTCGGCTGCAATGTATGCTTTTTGTTCAGTACAGGAACTGTGAAGTTGCAATCAAGATTTTCAGAATTTAATATCAGGGCTCCTTCTCCTATTCTCATACTTCCACCAAGCAATGTACTCACTCTCACCTATGGAAAGGCAAGGATCTACATCTTAACTCCATGCACTGCAACAGTCTCAAGACAAGCACTTTGGTTATAATAAAAATGTAACGCCTGTATTGCTGGTCAGTGGCAGATGAGGATACTTGCCATATGGATACAGACCAAAACTAACCAGATGAGATATGGTGCTGATGTACAAGACTCTCTGGATTATAATTCTTTTATCTGCTATTAGTATTCAGACACAGGACTAGGATAATGCTGCTAGACATCATGTAACAGAAAGGTTAGTTCAGTGTTTGCAAGGTGAAACTTCAAAGTATAAAGCAGAAAACCAAATTTTCCTTTGTTTCCACCCATAATGGCTGCAATGCACAGAAAACAATTACTTACTATCCAACTCCTCCTCATCATCACTGGAAGAAGAGCCAATAGAAAAGAGAGTTTTAGACTTAGGAATGAGTGGAGAGATGCTGAAGGAGAAGGAGATTCGTCTCGATGGTCGAGTCCGGCCCTGGGCTGAGAAGTGGGTTAACAGCAGACTTTAGAGCATGCTTGAAAATGCATTTAATAATAAAAAGGAGAGGAAAGTGGCCAAAGCAAACTATAACCAAAGCAAAGGAATTGTCTGCAAAGCAGCTGGCTTCAGAAAAGGCACAAGAAACAAAGCATTGAGAACATGCAAGTTCCAGAGGATGCAGGTCTCACTGCATGCATAACTCGAGGTTCAAGGCTTTCCTTATTTTTGTTGGCATCTTTTTATAGGACCTCTTCATGAAGACTTACATGTGAACAGTTATTTTGCCAAAGAGAATACCAACAACATAGTGGATCTCTGGAAAAAGGCCATCTGCTTCACTGGAATAACTGCCAGGGAGTCAAACTAGAACAACTCAAGGTATTTAACAGTGCTTTTTGCAGTTAAATGACACAACAAAGCTGCCAGATATTAGCATGGATAATTTATCTGAAGTGTTGACTTCATCTACCTGGGGAGGTTCCTGTCATTTTTACCTCTAAAAAAACCCAAACATTTTGATAACATTACGCCCTTCAATACTTCCAGATTTCAAAAGAAGACATCTAAATTTCCTTTATTTTCTTCCAAAATAGAACATAAAAAACAAGCACCTCTTCTCCTGCCTTCTTCTAAAACTCACAGTCCTTGTTTTAAAGAAACTGCCTAAACATGAGAAAAACCCCTCTGCACCCTCTTCTGTCCTTGTCTGAAAGATGTCTACCAAACAGTGCCAAACTTGGCAATCAGTCTGTGACATTAAATCTCCCATCATTTATTTTTAAGAGCAGCTCTTGCACAGCCACAGCTTTGAAACAATTCTTTGTAAGTATAATCTTCTCTGGAAAGATATGTAGAAGCCAGCCAGCCACTCTTAACTGAAACTGCTACACAGCCTCCTATGAAGATGCCCAAGCGCTACATTTCCCAAACCTCATCATACAAGCACAGGTGGAAACCTCTGAGCTGTGACCTGATCAGTGTCAGGCTGCTGGATACCCACTGCTGACATGGTACATCCATGTGTCCTGGGGAAAGGTGACTGGGACAGGGCTGGGGAAACTTCCCCTGGCACAGGTGTGACCTCGGGGTCCTACATTAAGCAACTATATTAAACATCTTCAGTGCATATATTCAGGCACTTTTAAGTCATTCCATGGCACAAATAAATCAATTTGCGTGTGCGACAGGGAAAAGAGGCTAAAGACTTTATCGGTATTAAGCTTCCAAGAGAAAGAAGTAGCAATTATTACTCTCTTTGAATAAAACATGTCCTTTCAGCCACATACAAAGAGAATTTTTTGTATTGCTGATATGATGACCTGAAACTGAATTCAGGGTATAAAAATACTACCCAAGGAATATCGAACGCAATGCAAGCAATGCAAAGCAAACTCCACTGAAATTTTCCTTCAGCCACTAGTCATAACTGCCAATTGCCTAGAGGTGATTTGACTAAAATTATGTGCACACTTTTCCAACGTAAGCAGATCAACCCTAGAGCGACCCAATGAAAGGCATTTAAATTGAAGAATTCTTAGCAAGATTCATGCATTAATTTTGTTTAGACTGCCTTTCAAAGGAGTTGTTCTAGCATCCAGACCTGAAGAACATGACTAGGCAACACTGCTTTCTTTCTTCTGTAGTCTACTGTCTATTTAGACTAAAAGTCAAGACGAACAATAATACTTTACTGTAAATAGAACCACCTCCTCCAGCACAGTTCAATTCAACTTCCATTTGAGTGGTTTTATTTATAGCAGTTCCTGGCTTTATAACAATGCTCCACACTGGAAATTTGCTATTCCAAAGCCGAAAGCAGTCTTCCGAGCACTCCAGCCAACAGCTCTTGTGACCTCCCTCTATAAAATGCTAAAGAATTAACAGTTGTGAATGGCCACAGCAGCTCTTGGAACATCTGAGACATCAGATGGAGTGCGGGCTAGAATCTCAGTCTTGGAAATTGCTCCTGCCTCAGTACATATTACAATAAACTGGAAAAATAAGTGAAAGCCCTCCATATGTTTATTCAATTGGATTAAGTTTTTGAAGCTTTTTTGCAGATCACATTGCTTTTTTCCCATTCAGATACATTTGCAGGGATCAGAGATTTTTTTTTTTTTAAATACCTACCACAAAATTATGCAAGTGGAATGAAGAATTAAAGTTTTCCTAGAATACACATCCATGAAATCAAGAAATTATTGTTACTCTGAAGTATTCTGCTGCAGTAATATGAATGTCAAACCAGGGTGATACAAGGGACTTTATGGACCAAGACCTTCTTGTAAAAGGCACTAAGCTGCTTCACGTGTATTTATGATCACAACTCAAGTAACACTATTCTTCTTGCAAAGTGACTGAGGAAGAATGAAGGTTACTAAGGTTTCCAAAGTCAGGAAAGTGTCAGAGTTGGGAAGAGAATCTGTGACCTAAAATTTCAAGGTGAGTAATCAACTGCTTCAAATGCATTGCTTTTCAGAAATCACCTTCCTATAAAAATGAGGCCTTTCTGAGGTGTCTCAGATTAACTATTGAGAAAATAAAGCTCACAGAAGCATTAGTAATGTTTAACTTCAGTGTCCAAATCTGCCTTGAAGCAGAAGACTAATCCTGTTATTTCTTCCACAGCCCCTATGGAAAGCTTACTATATCTTCCCTTTTCCTTCTCTCTCAACTAGACCATCATGGCTAGGCTGACTCTAGAAGATGGGATAATCAAACTTCTCTACCACCAGCTCAGGCCTTGATGGCATTTTTAACGTGGGTCATAAGACAGAGGAGAGCGGAAAGGCAGCAAGTTGTCCAATTCCAAGAGAGAGGCCCAAATCCTCCACTGCCATCACCTGCTGCCCTGGGCCTGACGGAAAGTCTCAAGGGAGAGGGACATCAGTTGCAGCCGGCCAGGCTCTCTCAGCCACCGTCAGTGCATTTTTGGGGAGCTAGCTGAGTTAGTTATGGTGCCTGATTAGCAACTGGATGCAATGCCAATAAATCCGTTGCTTCAAAAAAAAAAAAAAAAAGAAGGCCTTCAGTTCAAGTAGGAAAGAAGGTGCACCATTACACAGAGCAGGAGCCAGCCTTTTCACACGACAGATCCACTGGTGCTTTGGTGACTGTTAATGGGGGACACATCCATTAGGCCGCATCCTTATTAATCATGCAAGAACCATGGCAAAGAATTTAAAAACATCTCCTAAAAGCATAATCTCTATGAGTTTCCTCCAGCAAGCCTCCTAAATGAATAAAACTCCTTTCTTAAAAGCACCTTTCCCTTGTTTAGCTTTGTAAGGAAGAAGCATGTTATTAAAAAGGAAAAGATCAGAGACCCTCACAGATTGACAAGACATGACCTAAAATGTCAATACAATTTCTGGCTGGCAATTAATAGAATGAAAACATGTGTAACATGGCCCTTGCTAAGCATATCCAGCTGCAGCTTTCTGAATTACTTTTTCAGCTTAAAGAATCAATTCAATGAAGTTGTAAAAATAAGTGCTTGTTATCGCTTCCATTAAACTGAAAAATTTCACCTAATCATCTTTTATTGTTTTCTTCATGAATGAGATTCAACAAATTACACCCAACTGCCCCAAAACATTTAACTCAAAATAAATAGCAACAAACCCCCATAAGGAGACCAAGACATGGATTCTCAAGTTTCCATATATCAACTTTCAAAAAATCTAGAAGTAGAAAAATAAGATTTCAAGTGGAATTTACCTGGCATCAAAGGAAGAAATTCTGAAAGGATGCAAAGTTCAAACTTTTTTTTTTAACAACAAACTCAAGGAATCATAGTTTTCATACCAGTAGTCTAATTAAGAAAAAAACAAACAAAATAAACCCAACAGAACTGGAAATACCAGGGATACTTTGGAAAGAACAAGACATGGACCTGAACTGAATGAGTTGTCTTTCTACACCCACAATTCCATGGAGCACTGAAACATACATTTCACATAATATAGGAAAGCAAGAGCAGGTACTAGCAAATTCTGCCTTGGGAAGGTAGCAAGATATACACAATGATACAGACAACAGAATAGATAAGGGAAAACTGCATTACTCACTGTCCAGCACTGGTTTACTGATTGACATTAGAGACATAGATTTGGTCAGTGGAGATGAAACAGCAGAAGAACAGAAATTAAATCCTTGTGGCTGCGATGTTTGATGCATCTGCAGAAAATAAAATAACCACACTGAGTAAATATGCCAAGAACAACAATACCATCCCGACTTCAGATGACAGTTCAGTGTTCACATTTACTGAAACTCTCACTTTCAAACAGTGGAAAATTTAAATGATCCCAGTATAAGTTAATAGGTGCAAAATGCAAGAACCATGAAAAATGTAATCAGTGTTGCACAGGTGAAATGCAACATTTTGTTTTGTCTTCTAAGTGTAAGACAACTAATTATGCAACAAACATAGAGAGACTAGCTGCTTGATTTTCTTGCAGAATATTACAAGATGGATATTGTTAACTGTCTGATGGCCACTGAAATTACAGCTGTGATTCCAACTCCTCAGCATAACTAGACTGTGGTTTAAGATGGTAAAAAATCTGATGCTTAGCAGTGCGTTTCCCAAAAATGCCATTCCTCAAAGCAAGAGAAGACATGACAGTCTTGACATAATAGCTCTGCAGGCCAGATCTTCTAAGACCCATTTACTGCCTTGTTGTATAGCAGTGACTCTACAAGGTAAAGAGACTGGCTGGCTAATGATTCTGGCATGAACCCAGAAAATACTATGGCTGAAACTTCAAACTCAGAAACCCAGAGTATTTATGGTATTTAAGACTATAAATGCTTCTTTAATAAAAATAAGGAGAGACTCATAATATTGTGGCCCATCTGTCCTTAATAGCTATCATTGACTTCCGCTTCAGAGAGATCACTAAATTTTCTTAACATGCAATTAACATTTTGCTTAACTATTGATTATACTAATGGGCCTTTTGATTCTGGTTATGCCTATGAAAGAAAAATAATCTTTATTTTCCTCCTACAATAAGAAAATAAACCCAAAAACTTTAGCAGATAAAGTACTACTATTTCAGGCCTGCAAAAGACAGCATAAGCATTAATTGTGGAAGGCTCACAACACCTGCAACTGACAGTATCACTATATCCATGCTAAAAAGTTAGTAACTTTTTCATGATTATTCGTGCAATCAGTGAAAGAAAACTATTAAGTTTGACGTTCTCACACTGAGACTTCACTCATCAACCACATTGCCCCAAAGAACCAAGTAGAAAATTTGACACAGTGGAAATTCCTCTGTGTTAAAGGTTTTAATAATATTACATATCTAGCATGGAAGCCTTCACAGTGAGACTGTCACTTGGGAAAATTACTTCCAAAATATGATAGTAGCATTTTCTAGATATCTAACAACAGTTGGACAGCTTTACCTGGTGATTGTAGTCTCTGATTTCTCCTTGCTCAAGTTCTTCAGTGAGCAATACCAGGGACCCGCACTGATTGCTGCTGGCAAGGGGACTCCGTCTGAGGTCTTTTGAGCTCAGAGAAGCTGCCTCCAAGTTTGTAGAGGGCTTCTTGGTCTCACTAGAGTCTCCAGCAAGGCCTTCTAGGCTGTAACTAATGAGAAACCATGGAGATTAGATGCTGACAAGCTCTTAGGGATCAGTGTTTTTCAGCATGTAACTTTCAAGTGTAAACCGAGGCAGTCATCAACTGAACCGTGCAGGCAAATGCTGATGTTATTCCTCAGCATGTTACTTCTCAACAACCAAGTACAGATAGCAGTGGAGTGGCTTCTATTTTTTTTTTCAGAACAAATAGCAGCATCTTTGTGCCTCTAATCAGACAAAGCAGTTGCTTGAACAACAATTTAAGCTCCTGGTCAATAGCCTTTCTTTCTGTTTTGCCTTTTTTTTTTTTTTTTCCTTACTATTCTTGAGTGGTACACAGATAAATCCAGAAACATCCCTTCTAGAGATTTTGGTATTTCCACATATTCTCTTTGCTACGTTTTTATTAGGCTCTCCCTTGGAATAAAGCCATTCAAATTAAACTACTTTGTATGTCATGGTGCTGCCTGTCCTGGATCGACATCCCTCTGAGCAGCCACAAAATCAGCTCTGGGCTGCCCATAACGTTCCTCTCTGCAGACACATCCTCTGAATTTATTCTGCACTTGCCACTGCACAAAGCTTTGGCACTGATAATGTGCCTTCTTTCTGCCAAAATCAGTTTATTTTTTTTCCTCTTCTGTTTTGGATTTTTTTTGTTTGTTTTTATTCAATAAATGTTGTCTCCATCAGCCAATCAATCCTATTTTATCATTTGCTGAGGAAGCTAGGTCTTGTCCAATGAAGCCAGACAATCACTCCAAGCTAAATAAAATACCAAACTTTTGCTTGAAGAATTGGTCATAATAAAAGGTTTGGCCAATCTCTGTAGAGCCAGCTGATGATAGATAAGTGACCACTACAGAAAGATGTTAATACACTCTCTTCTTACCTACACAAAACACCCCCTCTTTCACATGTGGCTATTTCTGTCTGATATATCTTGGCCTTTATATTTTGCTTCTGACCCTCCTGCTCCTCATGCACAGGCATTGATAAACCCACTGCAATGCCAGTTTGGGTTAATGTGCAAGCTTCACAGATTCTACCTCACAGTACACTTGCGCAACTCCGTGGTTAACATTTGATTTGATTCTCACAAAGTCCTGCTAATTTGAAGCAAGGACTATCCTGGCTATATATCCCAACCTGAGGTTAATCATGACATCCAAGCGGCCAACAATCCAACATATAAACAAATCAAAGAGAAAACATACTATAGACTATACAGATTATTTAAACAACCAGAGAAGCTTTAAATCCAGGTAGACTTGCATAGTAGTGATTAATGTTCTGCATTCCTTTAGAAGCATTAAGTAGATGATAAATACACGTCTTCAAAGCAAAAATGGCAATACAACTTGAATAAGCTTAAGTAAATTTTTTAAGACTTTTTTCATGGTAATTAATGAGAAGAAAAACTGGCTGAGGCATTTACAATTTAATCTGCTTTAGGGAGATTTTGACTCAACAATGTATATCGATAGCAGGCATTATAAAGTTTATTCTAAAACACCTGCAGAGAGAAATCAGTTCCATTTCTCCTGATTATTTAAGGGCAGAATAATACTTTTTGTTGCATCCCAATGTGATAACAATTATGTAACATAGTATGGAAAAAAAAAACGTAGTTTGTTGTGACACAAACAGCTCAAAACTGCTATTTTTACCCATAAAATAGTTACCAGTGGGTAATACTGGTCTATATTTTGTTGGTCTATAATTTGTTGGCTGGGATATATAGACCAAATGTAATTAAATATGTAACAGGAAGAACAGATTAACTTCTTTCTCAATATCTAGTCTTCAGCAAAAGAATTCAATAGCTCTACCAACAACCTGCAAGAACTGCCAGAAGAAAGCTATAAAGCTATAAAATCTGGGAGACAAGTACTTCCAGGCAGTATCAGGTAAAGATCTGACCTGCAAGCATCAATCTGAACTCTTGGACCTTCTACAGAAGATGCAAGCTTTAAGTGCCTGGGTAATTTTCATCTGTGGCTATTAGACTGTTTTTTCACAGAAAGTTTTACATGATTAGTCTCTTTGAAGAAAAAAATAGATCTTTCAGTTTACAAAGAGCAAGTGTGTATGAACTTAAATCCTTTGTGAGATCCATCCAGAACAAAGCAGCAATGAATCACATTAACTCTTGATTCTTTGGCTGTCACAATTATTGTTATGATCATTGCTGCGGAAAAAAAAACCCACGCCTTAAAATCATCACAGAACACAGCAGCTCAGATCAACAAGCGCAGCTTCTTTAATGCTTGAGACCAAATGAAAAGCAGCCACCACCTTCACCTGCACCCCAATTCAGAAGACCCATTCCCAAGACTAACTGATGGAAAAGCAGATGAAGCAAACAAACATGTGCACGCTTCAGCCAGAGCAGGAGTGGAAAAGGCACGAAAAGCTGATGACAGGATGTTTGCAGTGCTCCTTTGCTGCTGCTGCACATTTATTTATACCATACCTTCTACAAGTAAAGTCAGGACCCATGGCAATGAACTGTACACCAGAGGGACACCAGCTCAAACTAGGAACATCAAAAGAGGCAAAGAAAGGAAAAGGGCTGTGATTACTGGATTGTTATGGAACAGGGGAATGTTAAAAGACTCTCACTCTTGCATATCTTGAAAAAACCAACCCAACAAACTCAGAAATAATGCAGTAGCTACTAGATATTTCTGGCTGCCAGAACAGACCAGAGTGCCCCAAGTGACCGAGGCTACCACTGAACGGTTAGTGGGACAGCCCATGCTTCCCCCAAACGGATCCCATCGGTGAGTATACAATGTACTGGAGAAACTGCTCCTTATGGGGAGAGAAGTTTTGGGGAAAACAAGGCTGAAACACACTAAAACAAATTTTGCATAAGTAAACACACACAGCCATTGTGTTAGTAATGATTAGTATTTTTCTGGTACCTCTTATCCCCAAATCAGGGAAAGAATCTCTTATAGATATTTAATGGTATAAGTCCCTTCCATACAAGTATTAATAACCTCACGCTACACTTGAGAAAAATAAGGAGTTACATTCTTAATGCTGCACAGCAAATCAGTGAAAGAGGCTGGAAGTAAAAACCAGGCTTGTCTTATTATTAACTTGGGAATAAATCAAGAGTCCTTCAAATAGCACTTTGACTAGAAAACCTTTCAGCTCCCATAGCCCAAAAGAGTCCCAAGTTGCATCATGAAAGACATAAGAAAAGCAAATACGGAATGCAAATATTTTGGTTGTTATCTTAAATACTGCTTTTGTTATTTTTTCTCTGTCAGCTTATGGCCCAATTGCAGGCTTTGCAGACACAGAGAAATCAATCTTCTTGTCAGCTATGACATATAAAGGATCCCTAAATCCTGGAAAAGCTGTCCAGGAAGCATACGTCGTCTGAAGGGAATTTTGCATCAGCACAGATCTGCCAGAACAGCACTGCACAAGTCCTGCTCCCAGCCCCTGGCCTGTGATCCACGCAAGGAGAGGACATGGCCAGAGCACGGTTTGCTCCAGGCCAGGAGCCTACAAGAAGGGCAGAACAAGTCTAAACATCCCTGGGACAGGATTTGTCAGTGCCAGAAGCTGCCGAGGGCACAGAGAAAGGTTTAAAGACACTGACGGCATCATCTCATGACAAGTCCTCATGTAGTTTTCACACACAGTACAACACTGGAAACATTCAGGAAGGGTTTGACGGTTGGTGTTCAATGGTGGAGTTCAGATAATTGCTACTTGTTTTCTTAAGGATGTTAACTGGGTGAGGATACACCTGAAGTACCTGTGCTTTGTACCTCAAAGCTCCAGGTGTGCTTCACCAGCAGCTCTCGGCATGGTACCATAAGCATTCTTCATGAACACACACCTTCCCACAACATGCCAACATTCCCAGGTACATCACCATCATCATCCAACTAAACCACAGTGGCAGATTAAGTATTAGTAACAGATGGAGGGACAAAATACTTTCTTGAGATCACAAAAGAACCAAGTCCTGGCCACAGTAAACCCATCTCCATCGTACAACCCAGTCTGCACTCTCAGGCTTGAGTTCATGCTCCCAGCAGGTCAGCAGAACCTGGCAGAAACTGGATGGAGGCTGGGAAAGTATCCCAAGGAATGTATCATACCTGTTTCCCTTCTCCTTGTTTCCCCAAGCCATCTGCTCGTGGCCCCAAGACTACTGGGCTAGGTGGATGCTTGGAGCTGTGCTGAAGTTGACTTGTTTGCAAAAGTCACTACTTCTTGTGTGGTTATTTTTCAATTCCAGAAGAGAGGATTTTCCTCATTAAAGAAATGATGTAACATCTCTACAGTAGATAGTACACTGTAAGAGACGCCTCTATTCCTGACCATTGCCATGTTACAGTGACAATCCCAAATGCTACAACTGCAGGAAGGGAAGCAGAAGAGTGGATGGGGGGAGGAGAAGAGCAATGTATACATGTAGGAGAAAGCCTGGAAGTGGTGGAAGGTCTCAAAAAAGTTAAAAGACCTTTTGGCAAGGGCTGTGGAAAGCAGTCTTACAGAATTACAATCCTGCTGGGGAACCACCCACAATCTGTTGGCAACACCACAAAAACCAAAGAGGATCAATGCAGAGCATGCAAAACTCCTTTACAGAAGACAACTTGGGGAGGGGGGGATGAGCTATTATATAAACCAGCCTTGTGGGAGAGAATAAACTGTTGGAATTAGTTTCAGGTTGCTGCTCTGCAACTCAGGTTAAAGAGAATGATACCAAAATCGCTGGGAGGCCAGAAAAAAAAAAAAAAAAAAAAAAAAAAAAAAAAGAGAGAGAATGCTTATGAAAGAATTACGACACATTGCAAATATGGCTAGGTATTATAGGTTGTCTATTTGAGACATTTTCTTTATTCTACATGTAAGATCAGTGTTTCAGGATATTATGAGTCTAAGTACTAACAGCTCCTACTGAGAAGCCTTAACAGACAACTGGTAAAAAGATGTTCATTTGCATGAGCTGAGAAGACGATCACTCCACTTCTTCCTCCACAGCACAGAGTGATGCAAATAAAGTGGCTTTGTAGAAGTAAAAAAGCATGTTCTTTCTTGTGCCTTTTTAAAAAAATTCTTTTTTAAGAGCCCTCTCCTGAGCTGTACAGCACTGCTCATATGGCTTCACTTATGCTGATGCATGGTAAGGCACAGTGATTTTTTTGATAATAACATCATGGCAACATTTTTTCCATATGTAGAAATATGGTAGTTTGTACACACACATGTAACCCCATCCATTTCAAGGAAAACAAGATCCTGAGTTAACCTGCCACAGGAGGAGAGGTAAGAGGCTGTGGGAGATGAGAAGAGGTTGAAACACTGAAGGGGAGAGGTTAAACTTTTGTTTTGTTTTGTTTTTACCCTAAAAATGCATGTGTGGACAATCCACGTCTGCTGTGTCAAAAATTAAGTGTCTTATTTTATGTTAATAGACAATGTAAAGGTTACGTGAGTGAAAATTCGTATCTGTATGATGGAGGAAGAACTGAAAGTTTGCTATACAGAAGAAAAAACACACATGTAAGTAAAGAAAAAGCACCTATTTTCTATTTTTTGGGAAGATAGTTATAAAAAAAAAAAAAAACAGTGAAAGAGCAAAATTACAGCCATTTATTTCTCCAACTCTGAGATCGTGTCTGATGCATCCCCGCCCCAGGTGTCCCTCCTGCAGAGCCTTGGCAGGAGTCTCTTACGTTCTTTAATTCCAAATTATGCATGTGCTCACAGGTAAACAACTATGTGTTATTTTAACACAAATCCAAATCTTACATATGGCAAAAGCCATAAAATGATATCTGAGACTTCTCCAAGTTATTAACATGTCATCCTGGAGAAAATGGCTGGTGCATGTGCTCTGTGGGTCAGACTGGAGAGGGAGAGCAGCCAAGTGGGATGCACAGCTACAACGTCAGTGCTTTGAGAAGTACTATAGGTTTACTAACATGACAGTATGGAGTTAGTAGACATTCAAACACAAAACAGTTAGTCACGTTAGTTGGCTTTGTACCTTCTCCTATGAATGGGAGGCTTCTTTATACCATCCCCCAGAACTCGCATTGAACTGAAAATGAATCATGGAGAGTGGTCAGCAGCTTGAACGGAAAAAAATGAACAAATGGCAGCTGAAGAAATAATATCCCAAACACATGAACAACAGAGGGAATGGACACACAGGGAATACACAAAATTAAATACTAAAGGAGGCAATGAGTCTCTCTTTTCCTCCTCTCTCTTTTATAAATAAATCTATTTTTTGTTTGTTTTGTTTTGTGTTTTTTTTTTGTACAAAAAGAAGGTTTCACAGGTATTGACCACGTTGCAACTTAGCTGCTGCCAAAGCCAGGTCAGTTTAAAATTAAGATAAGAACAAATTATTTGACAGAAGCTGTTAGCAATCATGATTAACACCAGCTCCAGTTTTGCAGTGCTTAATCTATCAGTGAAAAATGTTGCCGTTTCTTTCCTCAGACCTGAACATTAAAAACACTGCATCATTGTTGAAAGACAGACATTTTAAATCTGCTATGAATGTCAGGAATTAACTGAAGGATGAACATCCCTTTGTGGCAGCCTTGTTAGTTTTCTTTGTATTTTTAATAGCAAAATGTAGACATGAGGATTATCCGTGAAGTGCATTTGAGGCAAGAGTGGAAACAGAGGAGAACTGAGCATGTTTTCACATCGTATTTAAGATGATTACATTTTTTCTGATCTTTTCTGTGAACAATCTTTTATGTTCATCCCTCTTCAAACAGAAAACATGTCAAACTGGAAAAGACCAAATCCTACAAAAGACTGATTTTTTCAGTAGAGTCTTTGGGTCCTGTATCAGCAGCTCTATTTAAGCTTGACTTAGCTACCTTTACCATCAGGGGAGAGACTATTTGTGGTATGGATGAGGGCTGTACCAGCCTGCGAATCCTTTGCTGGCAGAGGAGGCACCTCTTCCAGCTCAGCTGACCGTGCAGCCTGACACCCCACTCCTCTTCCCAGCTGCACAGCCCAGTTCTAACTCTTGCTTTGGTTTTCGTGGCAATTACACTTTATTTGGTTCATTTTCTGCTCATTTAGTGAGTGCAACCTGCTCCCTTCTGGAGCAAAGAAGTGCCACGGGTGCCCAGAGGAGGAGAGGGAACACAGACAGGTGGCAGGTGGTGGGAGCAGCACAGGTCCTGCCCGTCAGCAGGACAAACCTTACCTAAAGCTTGTGCTCCATGTTACTTCACTTCAAAGGTTTGCAAAAGTCAAGTTACAACAAGGGATTTTCCCCTTCAAGCGGACAACTCTCTTCTGGATGTGACATAAATAAGCAAACAGCCTGAATTTAACTGATTTGTAAGAAAATCACTTGTTTGGGCTTCATTTCCTCAGTATTTCTTGTTGCTCACTAAGCAACCAGAATCTCAACATCACAACAGCCACGTGTGAAAAGAAGAAAGGAAGAAAGAAAAAAAAACACAAATAATCCAAATTCCTTTGTAACAGAAACATAAAATGGAACAGGAACCAAATCAGCAGCAGAATCCCACCCAGATTTTCTTTTTTAATTAACCTATGTGACAGCTATCGTTATGTAGCGGCAGCTGTATCTAAGAACATATGAGAATAATTACTGTTCCTTTAACTCAAATTTTCTTACATTTACAATGAATGTATTTTCCCATATCAGAAACAGCCTCCAAAGTCTGATGCAGGAGAATTTAACCCCATCTGTTAAGTGTTAGCAGTAATTGCCAGCTATGCAGTTTATTACCCTCAGAAATCCTTACATAACAGGTCCTACACTTAAAAATAAATCTCTCCAAATGAGTTTATGAGCTTATGGACTCATTCTGTCATAAACCTCCACATATACCTTATGCTCACTCTTTTGTAGATTTAAAAAGATAGGTATTACTTAATTTATTTAAATATTACCTGGGGACCAGGAATGAAGCCAAAAAAACGTGGTAGTGGTAAACAACAATAACAACAACAACAATAATAATAACAATAAATATTTCACCCTATGTTACTTAGAGGGTTCTGAATATTTTTCAACATTGGCTTTAAAATCTGAAGGGTCTATAACATTCCTTTAGTGACACCCACAGCTCCTAGCATGTAAAGGATGTATACATTTCTGGCGGGAGGCTGTTGCCTCCCACTGGATCATCCAAACAGGTCAAGCAACAATTTACCAGGAACCCACTGTGAGTGGCCAGTTTTAGTTTAATGGCATCACCAAATGCAATGGCTCCATTTATATTAAAGGCAGACCTGTGGCCATGGAGATGGCAGCAGCAGCCTGGAGAGCAGCACCATGCTGCAGACCTGGACTTGCAGCCTCCGTAAGCTGCAGGTCCTCATGGGACAGGAGGATATGGCACCCTGACCCTGATAAAACAACTGGCCATTCCTGCTCTGAAAGCATTAAAAACACTGGCCAAACCTCCACTGGTTTCAGAACACGCAGGGTTTGACACCAAGCATTCAGCAGCCCAGATGCTGAATGTTGCAGAGCACAGCAGGGAACCTTACACCAACTACTTTCTGTCTTTCTACCAACCACTCTCTTCCCCCACTTCATCTTTTTTCCCACTGAGATGGCGGGGCTGAACACCTTTTCTTCCCACAGTCACTTGGCACCAGTATCTACACACTCAGGCGGCTGTTACACCTCTCCCTCTCGTATCTTCTGAAAGAACAAATGAGAAAACTTCCATTTGGAATCTCCCTGGGCACCACTGGGGACATCGGTGATGTGGGGACTTACTGTCCATGAGAGACTGAGGTGGAACCAATTCCATGAATCAGGGACTACTCATCTCACCACTACGAGGAGCCTCCACACCATTTTTCAAAAACCCTGATGCCCATACTATCTCTTAATACAATCAGAGCAGTAATAGACATGTTTATTTTGTGGTCAATGAGATTTAACGCTCCAGTAATTCCTTTAACAAAGCCCTTTGTGTAGAAAGAGGTGGTGCTGGTTCAAATGTAAGACATGTTTCAGGATAATTTCACTTGCTCTGGAAAGCTCAAGCATACTGTAGGTATTAAGTACTTTAATCCTGGAAGTTAATTAAAAAAAAAAAAAAAAAACAAACCAACATATATTAGGAGATTGTCTTCAACCCTTTGAGTGAAAAACAAATAATCAGAAGTGTCATCCTCAGTTTTCTGTTTTATCATGCTGAGTCTAAAGCTTAGATAAATGTGCATGAGTGGGTGCAAAGTAAATCAAAGCAGCTCTTCACTCACCTCCTCTGATTTATTTCTGCTTCGTTGGTGGCGTTCTTCCCTGGGCCCCAACTGTGTCGACGGAAAGGTGACAGTGGCCGCATGGAGTTTCGTAAGACAGAGGAATGAGTTGGAACGTCCGTGATACTGTCCAGCTCTTCTTCCTTCTCTCCTCCCTCTGTGGCCACCATGTTGGTGCAGCTGCCATCCAGGCTGTGCCTGTCCTTGGGCTGGATGAAGTTCACCATCGGTGGGAAGGGAAGAGATGTGTCGCTGCCCAGGGATGAGTTCCTCTCCAAGGACATGGTGTCATCTGCAGAAGAACTGGAGCTGGTGACATCACATGCAGACTGCTCCTCTTCAGGCTGCTACAGATACGAAAAATTAAAAATATATTGAAGTAGAATCATAGACTGGTTTGGGTTGGAAGGGACCTTTAAAGATCCAGCCCCCCTGCCATGGGCAGGGACAGCATTCGTTCAGGCAGATTGCTCAAAGCCCCATCCAACCAGACCTTGAACGCTTCCAAGGAAGTGAATACATTTAACATTTTAAATAAATGCAAATATTTTACATTTCACATGAGTTGAGAGATTTCCTAGTTGATAGCATGAGGCAAATTAACCATCACAGAAGCGAGGCTTTTTGCTCTGGTTTCAACAGAGGTTGAAATGCTCTGCTGAGCAATCTCTTCAATTCCACAAGTCTGAGGTTGCTGTAACCCTGGTTTGCAACTCAGGTCCTCTGCCTGCCTTCCTCTCTTCAGTTCTACACTTCATCCTGCACAGCAAATCCTGCTTCCCTCACCATTTCTGGCTAATCCTGTTATCGGTCAAGACGCCATAAAACTGCCAAAGGGTTACGGAGACCAATTAATGGGGAACTGGGTCACCATGACTCCTGATGACAAACTCCAGGTCCTCTTGTGGGACCTGGGATGGGTTTGTAGCCCTCAGCCACAAGATCTGAAGGGCAACGTACTGTTCCACTGCATCATACAGCACAAAAGGGACAATTATTCAGCAGTAGAAAACAGAATAAAAGAAAAAGGCTTAAATCCCCATCCCCCACTACTTTCCATTAAGCACAAAGTTAATGCCAGGGTTTGCAGCATTTTTCAAATCCAACTGTAATTGAAAAATATCTTTCCACAGGATCAGCCACCCTGTATTACAGGTCTCAAGTCATACTGTAATTTTTTTGGTTTAGTTTGCTCCAAAAGCAGTGAGTAGAAGCCAAACTGGTTCTCATTGGCCAAAGGCCACATGCTGACCATACAGCCAGAGAAGAGCCCATGTGTGTTCTGTGTTCCCCATGGCTAGCATAAAAAAAAAAACAAAAAAACAAAACACACAACCATCTCTCTGACATCACCTTCAGTCTGAAATGGTGTTTGCCCCGAGGGACTGACGTGGGAAGTTTCAATTTATTCTCCTGCAGAGCCCTGCGCTGTATCATTTAAAATAATAATAGGCAGAATGATCTGTCAGACCATATATAATAGACTATTCAGCAAAGCCACAGCGGTTAATTGTCTTCACATAGCAAACTTGGTGGGTCTCAGCAGAAGCTGAGCCCTCAAGAAGCTGCAGGCTGTCAGCTCTCATTTGACAGAAGACAACGGGCTAGAAAACCCCATTCTCAGAGGGGAGAGATGGGCATCAAAACCCATGCAGGGCAGGAAGAACGGGAACGGTGCTGCCCCACGGCAGTCCTCACCTTGGATCCCACTGCCCTGACTTTGTTCAGGCCCAGCAGGGTTAAATGCCCCAGACACTTTTGCTTTTCTGTGCTTTTTTGATGGGCACACGTCATAAGCTAAAAGCTTTTTGTTAAACTGAATAAAAAGAAATGGAGATGTCCAAAAAGTATTCTAATCAAGTATTTCACTATTTATAGGGAAGCCCTGTTTCAAGTTTGGCTATTTTTTAATTCTTATTTTGGTTTAATAGGTACACAGTAATGTTCCTAAGGTGGTTTAAATAAATGCTGTCACGCTATTTCACCTCTCCTGTCTATCAAGGAAAAAAGAGAAAAAGAAAGACAGCATCCACAGCACACCACCGAAGTACAATATACCTTTAAAGCACAAAATATTAAAAAACACACTATAAATATATCCCTCTAAAAGCATTCATTTTATGGTAAGGAATGACTAACATTAATGGTGAATTTGTGTAAATAATAGTTAATTTATACTGTAGTGCAAAGTATTGGATTTGACATATATTTAAATAGGAATTGTAGGTTAAAACAAGAGAGAACTGAAATGGATGTCCTGTAAAGTTTTTGATGACGCTTAGCGTTATTCAAGATAATCTGATATTTGTGTGAGTCATGATGAGAGCTTACTGAACTGCTTAAATCCAGACAAACTAAGCAGTCATTATGTGGATAATGCTCCTTCAGCAGAGGAAACAGTCTGCTTCGCTTTTCTGAGACACAGGAAAATATTGTTAGACATTAGGGCAGCACAGCAGGAGAAGACAGGACTACCCACCAGCTGTACAGTGGAAGGATGGGACAGTTTGGAAACATTAAATTTGGATGCAGATCTAGCAACAATAGTACAGAACATCAAATTATATAGGGAGGAAGTAGAATAAAAAGGGGAATTTTTATTTCCCAGATGAGAATACTGCTCCAGTTTAAAATGCAGAACAAAAATCGCTTCCCTAGCATGGAAGATTTAGGGTTTCTCTCGTAAAGTGCAGTTCAAAGAGAGATTTGAAAAATGTGAAATATATTTGGTCTATTTAGCTTTTACCTTGAGCATCAGCAACTGACTTGCAGAACACAATAAACAATTCCCTTGAACTTGTGACCCATGCTTATTCTTCTAAAACTATTCTGTCTTAATTTAAATGATTTTTCTTTTTTTGAAATGAAGCAAAATAGTTAATATGGAAGACCAGGACTCTGTCTGCAAAATGCCAGGTGTGGCTGACACTTCTAAGAAAAAACTATATTGCAGCCACCTCTGCAAAAAATTATCTATCTGGCCAAGTGCCAGTAAATATGCATTGCTCTTTAATCTTATTTCAGTAAGAGAATACCCTGTTTGTAGAACATAAATGGTTCTCTAATGTGTTCTTTTCCTACAGGAAAAATGACACATTAAAGAAATACTAATTTTCTTCAAGTTAAGATTGATGCATTGAATGTTAATGAATTCAACCCTTAACCGTGACCATAAAACTCATGGCTGAAAAGAGCCTTTACAGGCATGTGCTAATGGGCATTTTCTTTGCTCTCAGAAACAGTACTTGGTGAGAAGCTAGTACGAAAAAAATGAGATAAGGCATAAAAAGTGAGCTTTCTGAGAAAGAACGTATGTAGTTTTTAATGAATGGGGATAAATCACTAGGATGGTGGGGGTATAAGATAACTTTCTCAACTAAATCCCTCCCTCTGTAGGAGGTCCTGATAAGTGGAATTAAAATGTTCTTTCAATCATTGTTGTGATGACAACATGAAAAGTGCTGAGACACAAACTTACTCTGGACCCTTATCTTTCATGTGACAAAGACATTAAATGTGTTACAGTATTTAAAAAAAAAAGAAAAAAGGATGAAAAAAATTAAACCCTGGCATCCTGAAGTTTATTTGGCATACCATTGCACTAAAGTAGTCAACATCTTTGGTTGGCTTGATATATAATCTAGCAGAGTAATTTTTTATTTGGATTTGCCTATGGTTCCATGTTCCCTAAAACTACCCTCAGTAGTGGCCTCCAGTTAACCATTTATCATAATTTTTATGATGAGGAGTCTTCCCTTGGTGAAAACCTCTCTCTTCAAACTTTCATTCCTTTGGGTTTGTTTTTTTTGCGCATGGTTGTTGGATTATTGTGTTTTTTTTTAAAGAGAAACAATAATTCTGAAAAAAATACTTGTAAAATATTTATGTATTTATCTACTTCCTTGAGCAAACCAAAAAAAAGGCAGAAATTAAACAAAATTCAAGGAGTTGAGTTGCAATCCTTTCTTTTGACAATGATCTGTGGGCTCCTGCCTTCCCAAGGGCCTTTTGTATGAATCATTTCGGAAGAAGCACATTAAAAAACTTCCCAGTATCACTGAATATTGGTGGCAGGTTAAAAGTTAAGATGAGCAAAGCGTATGGGCTACGCCCCAGGATGTTGCCAGATGACTGTGAGAAATGACCTTATGCAGCATTAATCATTCAAGGAGGAGGGTGTTGCAAAGCCTGCCCAGATGGCTGGCTGAGACCAAGAAGGAAAAGCAGGATGACGGGGACATGGGAATGAAGCGCTGACGCAAAAAAATAAAATATTATGCTGAAGCCTTAGACCTCACGTTGGAAGCGATTTCTGAATTTCAGCAACAGCCTCTAAAATCTGAAAAAACAAGTCAAGTTTTAGTGCTAAAGCTCTCTGAACCTGGCAGCTCATGTTACACAGCTCAGCACATGTCCTTCAGAGCAAAAAAAAAAAAAAAAAAAGGAGACAAGCACAGGATAAGGCAAGGAGCAAGAAGACAGTAAGGAAAGCATGCACTGAACATCAGGGAAAACTTAAGATACCTGGTCATTTTGTGACTCCACAGACCCCAATTCTTCATGGTCCTGGGATAGAACCAGGGCTTAAAATCTATCAATTTCTAAGTGATGTCTATGGAAGCAGCCCAAAGACCTTGGACAGACTGTGGCTTGCTCTTTCTAAATTTCTTTTAATATATTAAGCAGAGCGGGAGTGATTTATACAATAAAAACCAACTCTAATAGATGAAAGTTCAACTCTTGCTCCATACAAAGGGGAAACAAGAACAGGACTAGCAATAACAATAATCGTGACACTGATAGGTTTGAGATCCTCTTTTTGTTCATAAACACGTTCTCTCTCTTCCCAATTTGACATGCAAATTGTACTATTTAATAGGCTTATAACTAACCAACTACACCCAAGACACGGCTCTCAATATTTTTTAGAATAAAGATTACATCCAGCACTTATTTTAGTGGCTACTAAAAGTATTTATAACTTGCATTACAACCAACTGGGCTGAGTAGTTTAAAAAAACCAAACCAAACCAAAACAGTGAATTAAGAACAAGCTCACAACACTGACGTACTGTCCCTAGTCTTTCTAGAAGTAACTTTAACTACAGAAAAGGTACTCAAGACAAATTCTGAGAAAGGAGACAAGGAATCAAGTTACTCAGCAAAGCAGAGACAAAAAAGGTGACTGAGGTTGAGATTAGCTTTGAATAACTTCCTAAACTTAACTCAGGAACCTTTTGAACCCATTTGTAGTTGAAGTCTGAAATCCACTGCATAATGAGAACAATGCAACAGCTGCCAAATTAAGAAATTCCCTTTTACGAAGAAAATAATTTCCTCTCTCTGCCCGCTCTTCACTGGCATTTCAAGATCTGCTTTCCCCACCATGTCCTCTTTTTCCCTGCATCATCCCTACTACATTGCACTACCCATTCTTTTTAAGTTTTATTTTTTCCTTCTTGTATTTGGAGAAGGAAACTTTCCACATACGAAAAGGAAAAAGCCAAAATTCTGTATAATATAAAATTTACTGTGTTCCCACAGCACTCTTCTCCCATGCATCCCCATACAAGCATTAAATCAGGCTCAAATGGCAGTTGGCTGTCGTAATTCATGTCACCCTACACGAGATATCTGAAGACAGTCTTCTACTCTGACAAGCGGCCTTATATTCTCACAATCCAGGGTCCCACATCACTTTGAGAGTGAGATGGGAAAGGGTGAGGCTGGTGAGCTCTGTGCCCTACCACATGCATTAAGGATGACTTTACTGTTCATTTATAGCACATGAGATCACTTAGCCTGGGCTGTGGTGTTTCCCGTCCTGCTGGAAAATATTCACCATCATCTGATTTGATTTAAGCAAACAGAATTTTGTTTCCTTAAATATATTCCTCTGAAAGCAAGTGTGAAACCTACTCCGAAAGTTTAGTTTTTGAGAGCAGGAACCATGCCTGCTCAAACAGGTAAGCTGGAGCTGAGCCTAAGCATGTGATTTCATGGAGCTGAGACCAACGTGATGGCTGCTCTAAAGAAGGTTCATGTCCCCTTTGACTCCGTACCATTATATTCTTTCTGGGTGCTTTTTTCATCATCTATTTAGGACAAGAAGAATATAAATTACCGGAAAGTTGATTCTTAAAAAGCAGAACCTAATCACCCTCTGAATAAATTCAGGCTGCTCTGATGCAGATGGCAAAAGACCGATGCTAAAGGGAAGCATCCTCTGTTCAGGAGGGCGACTCTATCTCAGGTCTCGCCCACTCCTCCCCCTTCTCGGCCCTGAGCAACACAAAGGGCACAGGGATGACTGAGGTTAGTAATGACTTCTGTTGTTGATTTTAAGCAAACCTGAAAACATTTTCCTTCTACTTCCAAGCAAAAAGGCATTAGAGGCATGTCGCCTAGGCAACAAAACTATTCATTGGAATTGGCCTTAAGTATTTAGAGTGAGTGTTTCCTTCCTATCCAGGGAGTCACACTGAATTTACAGAAAAACACTGGTTCCTGTGAGAATTACAGTATATAATTCTGAAGGTATCAGCTCAGAGGTCATCGTTTGCTGGAGAAAAGCTCTTTGTTACATGAGTTAAAGATGGCTTTCACATTGTCTGTGCAATCCCTAATGACCTTGCAAGAAAATTCACCTTTTCAACTGTTCCTCTAGTATGCGATTTACTTCTGGACTGTCAAAATTACTTTCATCTTTTTAACACTGGGGGCTGCACGGTTCTTGGAATTCTGTTGCAAGTAAATACATTCCTCATGTTGCTGCATCCGAACCGGGGACCGGATCCTTCCCATCTATTCTGTTCCAGGATAATCGCTTCCAGCTTTCTAACTCACCAGTGAAACCAAGACGATTTGCATTTGCAGTACAGGTTTATTGGATCAGACCTCAGAGCTTTTTTAACCATATCCCAGGCAGGCTTTCCTACCTTTCCAAAGACAAGGTCCTCCATCCCATCACCAGGCAAGGGGAAGAGGTCAGACTCGCTCCCAGACTCTCTTTTAAGCACACTCTGTGACGAGGCACAGATGCCACTCAGCCCATCCTCCAAGAAGTTCTCACATTCTGTGGGAGCAAAGCAGAAAGTTACAATCTGATGCTTTCTGTAGCATCCATATATCCACCCCGCACACTCTCAGTAAATTCAAGGATGTAAAAACAATAGTAAACACAGCTTTATATATTGTGTTCACCTCCCAAAACCGTGCCCGCAAATTTTCAAATAACTTATTCAAGAGTTTAAAACTCCTTTTTAATGCATCAAAGTACATGGTGCAAACGTAAATTCTGCATTAAACAGCCATATAGGCCTGTAGCTTGAGGTGCTGATAAGTACACTATATATCAGGTACCCCACATTGAGCATAACAGGATGTTTATGATCAATTGCAGAAACTGCAAAATTAGATTCATATTCAATAAATGTAGAAATACAACTTCACAGTATTTGCTTTCTTTCTCAATTAAATAATCAATTCCCTCTAAATGCCAAGATGCTTTTAACACATGTTGGGACAATTATTTAATTCTTTCTTCTATACTTCTCACTGAAAACGCATTAGTACGACTTCCATGACAAACTTTACTTTTTTAAGATTCAAAAATTAAGTGTTTTTTTTTTTTTTTAATTCTCAGCTTTTGTAACTCCTGATATTCAAATATAAGCATATTGCAACCCTTTTTTTCTAAAATACTTCCAGCTGTTTGTACTGGGGTAATGAGCAGCACAGAACTAGACTACAGCCACTGAGAAAGCCCTTCCTTTCCAAAAAACCTTAACAGACATGTATTTGCATAAAAAATGCCTGTATATCATTTCATTTGTTCAGCCTTCAGGCAGAAGTATTAATGACAACTTTGGCAATAACTGAACATTCTTTTCTCCGAGCTCAAAATATTTTCTAATTGTTAGCATTTTTTGAAAAAAGAAAAGTGTTATTTTGCAACCTGCTCTAACTAAACAGATCCAAAACATGCTCAGCTCCCTGGAGAGGAGCCAGGGCAATAAAATATTGGTTCAGTCTTAAATTACACCTGACTAACTCCATCCTCAGTGACATCAAGATTACAACGATGACAGGTTTGAGTAGCTTGAAGCCACCTTTTTCCCTTCCCCATCCTTAACCTGCACCTGGCAGCAGCTATCAAACAGCCCAGCTACAGCCCAGCCGATGGGAGGAACTCCACTGTCAGGAGAAAATAATGTTAATTTATTGATGGCAGTGGGGCTGCTCCTGTGTAGGGCAGGGGGCAGAGAAAGCTGGTAGGAAACCCCATTACTCCGTAGAGGAGTTTCCACACCATGGAGAATTGGAAAAGAACTTATTGGAGGTGGAGTGGCTGCTCCCCAGCCCTGTTCCCCTTTCGGTAAACCTGGAAAATCTGAATTGCTTTTCCATCACTGAAGGGGAGAAGGGGGGGGGGGCGGGTCAGGAGAAAATAGAAGGGAAAAGGAAAAAAAATAGATGGAGAGGCTGTAAGGGAACAGGCCAGGGTGCCGTCTGTCCAGCTGGCAGCCAGCAGAGCATGTCCACAGCCCAGACTGAAAAACAAAGGGGCTCGAGCCACGTTCCAGTGGAAAGTCAGCGGGGATGATCCAGATGCACCAAGGGACAGATACCTCACCCTGATGATAAATCACAAGAGGCAGCGAAGCCTCCTCTGCAGGAGCCTCTGAGGGACAGAGGAGATGAAGCAGCAGGGAAGGATGATGAGGAGCAGAGCGGTGGGAACCCCCCACGCCTCAGCTCATCTGTGCTGAGAAACTAATTCCCAACCCCACCTCTTCCCACCACTCTCCTTTATTTTCAGTTGTTTGGGGGTGGGTGGGTGTCTCCCCCTTCCCTTTTTCTCAGTTATCTTGCCAGGTGTGTTTTCTTTGCTTTAAACTGCACAGACATTGCACAACACTGAGCTCGAGCCCTGGTGCCAGCACTGCCGTGACATGGGGACTGTGGTGCCCATTGCACATCCACCCCTGCTCGTGCTGGATTTACAGCACAACTGTGCTTATCTGCTCCTCTCTGTGGAGGTGCAGGTGAAAATACAATTGATGATGGTAAGACACTTCTGCATGTAACACAGAGACGAAAAAAAAATTATGTAGTAAAAAACCCTAGGAAGAAAATTTCCAAGCAACTCTCTTTATGTACATTTTCCAAACCCTCGTGTCCTCCAAGACAGGGCTGAGCCCTCCAATTCCATGCTGATAGCTACATATCTGCTACACTCCTCTAGTCACTTCATTTCAAAAGTATTGGCAGAAAATGAGAAGCTATAATTTCTGGAGTTACTTTCTAAGATTTGAGGACTCTGTCCTTACAAGCCATTTCATCAGGATTATTCATCAGGTGAAAAAGGTCTAACTCCCTATCACATTGTGTATGTTTAAATTAGCCACATTACAACAGCTAGTGGTTTTATTGCTGCTAGATGTTGCCAGATTTTTCTTGCCCTCTCTACACTGCACAGCACCGCAGTGCAGCTGGAGGGATGCGTGTGCAGTAACAACATTATTTCTAGAAATGTCAGAACCTGCAGAGCCTGAGATCTTCCTGCTGCTTCAGTCCAACTGGAGAGCACATTAATCAACTTAAACACCTGCTTCTTTGTGTTTGTGTTATAGGCAAATATTATTGTAATTATTATTATATATTTGTATATGCAGCTACCTGATTACATAATTAATATTACATTTCTATAGTATGGCATTGCATTAGATAATTAATAAGTATATAACTAATATTAATCCATATGAATACATGATTACAGATTTGGCAAGTCAAATGACTGCATGTCACTTTGCAGCCAAATGAAGCACAGTAACTCTTCCCCAAAGAGCAAAAATATACCACGAAGCAAGGGATTTGGGGACACAATTAGGAAAGAAGCAGCAGGGTTGATACCACAGGATCTCCTGTAAAACACTCCTGAAACAGTTATTCACTGTTCATGACTGTTCTAAACAGAGCATTATATATATATATATATATATTTTTTTTTAATAAAAAACCACTTATTTAACTTTGATAGGAGCTAGAACTTCTACCTGGAATAAACCCCTTGGGTCAGTCACACACATTATCCCTTCTTAGCCTATACTCTGAAAAGACTGGGTTTGACTTTCACATTGACACTCAGTGATTCAATCCCTGGTTTTCTTTCAAGTCTCTTAGATAAACTGAACGAGAGTCAGGTGAGACCCCTGATCATAACGAGAGCAAGGCCAGAAGCATCCTCTCTACCAACAGTCCAAGTCACTATTCAGGGCCCTGATAAATTACTCTATTTGTTTTGAACATGCATAATTCAATGAAAGGAAATGCTTTTTTTCTTATCTTAGACACCAAACCCTGTTTGAAACTTGCCCAGACAAGATTTTCTGTCCCAGTGGAAGAGTCAGAAAGCACCAGTCAGCACACAGGGCTGGGAGCTCAGCATGGCTGGTGGGCAGGGTGTGGGAACGATGGCTCTGAACAGCCTTCCTGCTTCCTGAAGCCTGGAAATTATGTCAACTTTCAGAGGAAAAAAGAAATAAAATAAAACCAAGCCACTGATTTGGATCTAAATATGGATTCAGGAGTTTCAATTTCTGACTTTTTTTTCTACACAGCTCACTGCAAGTCAAGTGCTACAACCATGTGCTAACAATGACTCACGGCAGATTCATTACACATTTTCTTTAGTTTATGTGTTTTCCCTGTCAAGGCAAGGATGTCAAAAACAGAAGAAAAAGAATGAAATAATAGGTGAGGACAACTGCCAGGCTGCTCACCTGGAGACTCCCGCGTCCGTTTGCGCTCCAGCAGGGAAGAATCAGGACATGGCTCCAGCGAACACCAGCTTTCACGGTTTATCTAAAAAAGAGACCACAGCAGATCAAAAAAAAGCCACTCTCGCTAACGTCCCTGCATAGCCTCTTCTGCAATGTCGCTCTGCATTACCAGCAGATATACAGCTATGGCTTAAATTTGTCCCAATAATAAAAATGTCAGGAGTAACTTATGACTTTTATTTTTTTTAGCATCACCAAACAAACCATTAAAATATGCCAAAAAACTTTGTTTCTCCGTGGAAAGTATGACTTCAAGATGGCTCCCACTCAAGGCACGAGTTCAGAGGGAGGATGAGCCAGCATTTAAGCTACTAGTTGCGAACTGAAGAAATGTGGCTTCAATTCTCGCCTCCATTTGTAGCGGGACTGCAGGCAAGATACTCCTCTGCTTTATGCCTCAGTCCATTATCTACAGAACAGCATTTCCTTACCACCCATATTGCTGTAAAGATAATTACCTTAAAGTTAGTAAGGCTCTCTGATAATGTGGAAATGAGGGCTAGGGAAGTGCCCAGGTCATGGTGAGAACCAGAAGCACTTGGTGTTTGCATTAACTGAAATGATGATGATGGTGTTAGAAACCCCTGTTTTAACACTAAGACACATCACGTGGTTTATTTCAACATCAGCCTTTACCATCTCACCCTGTCCCTCATCCTTTCCATGACTTCTAGTCTTTCAGCAAGGATGACTGATCTGTTCTCAGCCTTCTCTGTGTCTGCCTGTGCTTCACTCTTCCTCATTTGGGTTGTGTTGTCCAACATTTTGACTCTGAAGTTTGCTGGACTATCCACAACACTTTGCTCATCCAACATATGCTTCCCATCGCTTTTGTCTACTGCCAGTAGCCTCTGGAAGCCCCTTTGCTCTCTGCTGTTTCTCTTAGCTGAATGCCTTTATTTGTCAAATGCAATCAAATCTCACCTGGACAATCTCATGTCCCACATCACAAAATCCAGAGGTTGCTTCCCCTCCTGACCCGCCTCAACACACAGGATCTCGCACGTTATGTTGTAGCTAAAAGAAAGCTACTGAAATGGATGACTTTCATTTTATACGCCGACTATTTCTCCTACCCTCCCTTTGGCTTTCCTTTTCTCTCCTGAAATAATTTCCTTTTTCCTCTCTCTGTCAAATAGAGCATTTTTACTATTTACTTTTTGCTTCTGATCTGTCTTCAAATCTCCTCCATCATCCTGCTCTAATTTTGCAGACCCTTGCCAGATTCTCATCTCCTCAATATTCTTTCTCCTTTCTCTCCTTTCTCCCATGTTATGAAATACACTGCTTTTTCCTTTTTTTTTTTTTTTTTTCCAATAAAATAAAAACATGACTCTCCTACCCTTGACCTGACTTGCTGCTTTGACTGATGACCCATGTCCTTCTTCCCTCTCTCACTGAGATTATGGAATGTGTTATTTGCAGTCGTTGGCTGGTGCTGCTCGCCAGTCTGGCTGCATCCCCCTGCCCTTCACCAGAGGGGCTCCTGCCAGCACCTCTGCTCACCTCCTGCTCGCCAGCAGTCAACGCTCCACTCCTCCAGACCTGTCAGCTACTTTCTACAGCACATATTTCTTCCTTAGATTTTGTCCTCCATACTTCTGAGATGACAAAATGGGGTTGGAAGGGCCTCTCACAGGCTAGCTAGTCCCTTTCTGCTGCTCCAAGTCAGGTTCAACTACAATCTAAGAGGTCTCCATCCAGTGTACCATAAAATCCTCCAGCAGCGAAGATGCCGTGACCTTCCCCAGACAGCAGTTCTTGCTGGGGGAGACAGGGAAGGAACAGAGAAGATCTGAGAGGGGAAAAATGAGCAGGAGCCTCCCAAGAGAGGTGAAGGAGACATGTGCTCTAACAGAGTCAGGTCTCAGGGTGACTTCAGTGCACATCCCTCCTGGACATCCCTCCCTACCTCCATGCAACTTTACAGGCTATTTTTCTTAGATATGATGTACACTTCCTATCAGTTGCTTGCTGCCTCTGTTCATACATACGCATTATATACACATTCATCTAAGAACCCACCAGACCCCTATATGTACATACATCTAAGAGCCCATCCCTCCCTGTACCTCTGCTCAACACACATACACATACACCTGTGTATACCCATCTTCTCCCTTTTACATATATATTAAATGAGGTGGAGAGGGAAAGATAAGCAGTCTGAAGTCTGAGAAAGATTTTTGTAAGCAAATACTCAAAACCCTCATTCTTTTTGTTTTCCAAAGTGACATAATGATGTTCGATTTTAACTATTGCATGGATACAGGGTCACCGTTTGGATACTTTGAACGGAAGATAGATACTCCCTGCTCTCAGTGAGGCTGAGGGGTATCTAATCTTAGCAATTGAACTTCACTGCAGAATTTATATATACTTTTTTAGTCTTACAAGAGTTGTAAAGTCAATAAATATCACATTATGACTGTAAAGTCAATAAATATAATGTTATTATTCTTTTCTCTCAGGACAAAGCAGAATCTATTTTGCAGCACGCTCTTATATTTTATTAAAGGCAAATCTAGAGGCTGAGCCTGAACACACAGGGGAGAAACACAAATGTGCTCAAGTCCACAGAAATGAAGGAACGACCCATTTCATATATAAAATCAAATTCTGACTACTCCTGACTGGCTTGCACATAACTCCTTCCTCATCATATTGAGTCTGATTTTCCTTACTCTTAAACCAATGTAAATCAATTTTAAGGGAAATTTAAGGGAACTACTCCTGATTTATACTGATATCCACTATTAGAAAATGATAATTAAACATCCTGTTCAATAATTGGCAGTAAGAAAGCAAAATATGAGGAAGTTCAAGTCTATCAGTTGATTGGTAATAGAATAAACTATATTAGGCTGAATTAACATTATATTTTTTCCTTTAATAGAACCAATTGAGTCATTCACTGAAAATGCATTATAGACATTGGCATTTTTTCAAAAAAGATTTGAGCATTTTTCCCATTACCCAGCCAGCTCTCTCCTCTGCCCTGTGACTCTGCCAAGTATTGAAAATGTCTGGGTTTTTTCTACCAAAAAAAAAGTAGTAAGAGAGAAACACTGAGGTTTAAGGTGCTATTTCAGACATACCTGATCAGCTACAGAATAAAACATTAGGAACTAAGTGTTTGTCAGTAGTCCTAATTCAGGAACAATAATAATCATCATCAAAATACAAACAAAGGAAACCACTACTATAAACAAATATTCCCTATTCCAAAACAAGCCCAGACAGGACTTCAGAGAGGTTTACTGTGTGCTCTCAGGAAACTGGGTGGTCCACAGATACTCAAAACACAAACCCCACTATCCACAGCCCCATACTGAACACTAGAATCCCTCCTCAACAGCTGAAATCTGCTCGTATTTACTCAGGACCAGCAACTGCAGGTACAGATGGCAAGGGCCGTAGAGAAAATACCATTATAAAAGCACATGAATACCAGCAGTTGGGGAAGGCACCACTACGAAGAAATTTGAAACGAGGTTGTCTTGGGATTTTCTGGACATGAGAGCATTATATGTAGCAAAAATATTCCTCCCTTCTTCCCTTAGTCTCTGTTTTGCTAAGAGAAGCCCAATGACAGGACCACAGATGACGATAAAACCCTCATGCACTTTCTGACTTGCCCACACTGATTATAGCCCATCGATTCTGGGCATCCCAAGTCTTTGTGGTGGGAGCAGAGGATGCAGCGGTGTTCAGATGGCAGAAAGGAATATGAAACAGCCTCTGGGAACAGAGTTTCAATACACAGCTTTTGAAAAAATGCCAGGAGAGAACCAGCAATTTTTCCATGCAGAAGCTTGAATGTGTTTATCTGCAGCTCAGACACAGGATGAATCCCCAGGCACCCAAAACTGAATCCCAAAGGATTTTCTGTTTGCCTGTGAAACACTAGCAGGGTAAATGTCCAAAGAGGGCTTTAGGACATCAGCTGGAGTTGCAAGCAGCAGACAGTTTGATTGCTTTTTTCTGGGCACGCATGCATGTATTTCCTGACTCTCAGAGACATCTTCCTGCAGAAATTGAATTTGGAACTTGATGTGACTTAACGCAGAAACCTCCTTGCATAAGAAAGGGATGGACAACCTGTGAGACAGACAGGGCTGGGATGTCCTCCATCACGTGGGAATGATGAGCGACCCCAGCCTCTATTCCCAGGCTCTGCCTTCCTCTCCCCCAGCATGACAGTCTTGCCCAAGGAGTTGTCTAACACCCTCCAGTGCTCACAGTTCTGTGCACTGCCTGCCCACAAAAGCCAGAATCTGGACCTCCTTCTCAGAAGACATGTCAAAAATGTCTACTTCTGGTGGAGTGGCAGTGGAAGGCTTGCTAGACACACTTGCCTGGGGCACCAGTTGCTACCTGGTTCCCGTGCACCTCTCCTACCTTTCCACCATGGAAAAATTCTTTTTCTCTCCCTCTGGTTTTATTTTAACTCTTCTTGCCTTCCATTTCACAATAAAGAAAACGCACTGACCTTTCAGGAAATCTTTTGCTATTTTAAAAGGCTGCACTTGTCAACCTCACTGGTAGTGATATAAATCAACATCTCTAGAGCAGAAGGAACCAGATGATTTTAACTTTAATTTCCTAGCAAACCTCTAGATATTCATCTTCCCTCCATATTGTTTTAGCTTTATCCTAAATTTACAAGTTTCCACTTTGCTCCTTTTTCTTTTTCCCCCCACCAGCTTCCAGACTAAGTTCTACCTTGAAGCTAAAACCGGATACCACTGCACATAGGAAAATATTCAGTTGAGTAGTTCTAGCTTGCTTGGTGTATCAGTAAGTACTTGTACACCATACTGGGCAATAACTGACACTAGGAAAGATTTTAAATATCCATTGAAAAACACAAATAGCAGAAAACAATACTACTTCAAATTAAATTATAACTAATTTGTTTAATACTCAAGAATGATACAACTAATTTATTTTTTTTTAAAATGAAAATCTTAATCATTCTCTCAGAACTACCTGTTCCAGAAAATTTCCTGTAGCACAGTT